GCTGCTCAGAGTAATGGTAGTGACGTCGATGATGCCGACGTTGGTGATGATGTTGATGCAGGTGCGGGTGCCGATGCCAATGATGATGCTGACGGTTCCGATGTTGTTGATGATGACGATGATGATGATGCCGTTGATGACGATGATGCTTCTGATGTCGACTATCATGATGATGTTGAGGATGATACCGATGATGCTGATGCGGCTGGCGGTTTGGATTATGACGATGATGGTGCTGCAGTTCATGATGATGCTGATGTTGATGGGGTGGTAGTACTGAGAATGGGGATAATGATGGTGTTGACGATGATGATGATGATCATGATGATGATGATGATGATGATGATGATGATGATGATGATGCTGTTGATGGTAGCGACGACGATGACGATGATGCTGATGATGGTGTTCCTGATGATGGTGGTGATTATCACGAAACTGCAGATGCTGCGAATGATGTTCTTGATGGTTTTGTTGATGATGATGATGGCGGTGATGTTGCTGATGATGATGGTGACGATGCTGGTGATGATGATGATGATGATGATGATGCTGCTCGTGATGGCAAAACCGGTGACGATGATTAATGACATCGGTGACGATGATGCGAGTTCTCATGATGATGATGGTCATGATGGTGGTGTTGGTGGCCATGATGAGGATGATGGTCATGCTGTTGATGTTTTTGATGATTTGGTTGATGCTGGTGGTGATGTTGGTGCCGGCGCTGGTGCTGATGATGATGCTGGTGATGCTGATGGTGATGATGCTGATGATGGTGATGCCAGGTAAGCGGATGATGATGATGTTGATTTTGATGATGGTGATGGTGATGGTACTGCTGATGATGCGGCTGACGATGGTGGTCATGATGATGAGGATGCTGACTCTTAGTGCTAAACTGGATGGGTGATGCTGCAAAAGTGGATCATTTTTGTGGTGGATGTTGATGGTGTTGATAGGGGGTGATAGTGATGTTGATGAAGTTGATTTTGATTATTCTGATGATGCTGTTGATGCTTCTGTTGGTGATGATGGTAATGGTTATGGGCATGACGATGATCATGGTTATGCTGATGATGATGCACATGCTGATACCGATGATGCTGCTGATGGTGGTGATGCTTAGGCTGGTGCCGATGTTAATGATGATGCTGATGCTGCTGATGATGATGGTGGTATTGTTTGTGATGCTAAAAACAAGAGGTCGCTTGGTGTGGTGGTTAAGCTGGTGATGATGCTGATGCGGATGTGGATGATCATGCTGATGGTGACGGCAAGGATCTTCCGGTGCTGGCGATGATGATCAGGATGAGGACAAGGATGTTGATGATGATGAGGGTGATGCCCATGCTGATGCTGATGGTGATGATGATGCGGATGCTCATGCTGGTGCTGATGTATGATGATGATGCTGATGGTTGTGCGGATGATGATGCTGATGGCGGTGCGGATGATGATGCTGATGCGGATGATGATGATGATGTTGCTGATGCTGAGAATGATGCTGATGATGATGCGCATGTTCATGCTGATGCTGATCATGATGTGCTGATGATCATACTAATTATGATGGTGAGGGTGATTATGAGGATGGTGATGACGTAGATGCTGATGATGGTGATGATGCTGATGATCCTGATGGTGCTGGTAATGATGATGCTGGTGCTGATGATGCTTCTGGTGATGATGAGGATGATGCTGATAACGATGACGGTGTAATGATATACTGATGGTGGTGGTTGTGATGATGGTGCGGATGATGGTGCTGTTGCTGATGGTGATGATGGTGCCGGTGTTGATGATGATGCTGATGGTGATGGTGCTGCTGACGATGATAATGATACTAATGATGACAATGATGGTTACGATGCTGGTGGGGGTGAGGATGAATATGATGATGCTGATGCTGCTGATGATGATGCTGATTATTATCACGGGTGTGCTGATGTTGATGACGCTGCTGGTGATGATGATGATGTTGCGGATGATGATAACGATTGTAATGATGATAGGTGTGCTGTTGCTGCTGATGATGATGCTGTTGGTGCTGGTGGTGATGATGATGCTGATGCTGATGCTGATTGTGGTGCTGATGATGATGAGTATGAAGATGATGATGATGATGATGAAGAAGTTGAGGTGTTGCTGATGCTGATGATGTTCATGGTGATAATGATGACAGTAGTGATGTTGATGTCGCTCATGCTGGTAATGATGATGATGCTGATGATGATTAGGATGGTGATGATGCAGCTGGTTATGAATATGATGCGCATGTCTATGCTGATGCTGCTGATGATGATGGTGATGATGCTGATGATGCTGATGATGCTGATGATGCTGATGGTGATGGCGATGATGATGAGGATGGTGATGCTGCTGATGATGATGGTGCCGATGATGCTGATATCGATGGTGATGATGCTGATGATGATGGAGGTGATGATGCTACTAATGACGATGAGGTCGATTATGATACCGATGCTGACGGTGAAGATGATGTTGCTGATGATGTTCATGATGCTGATGCGGTTGATGATGATTGTGCCGGTGATGATGATGACGACGTTGCTGCTGATGATTGATATGGTAGAATGGTGAAGCTGATGATGATTATGCTGCTGATGATGACGGGGATGATCATGCTGCTGATACTGATGCTGACGATGATGCTGGTGGTGATAATGATCATGGTGAGGATGATGATGCCGATGCTGTTGATGAGGATGGTGATGATGCTGACGCTGATGATGCTGAAGATAATGATGCTGATGCTGCTGATGATGGGGATTAGGATGATGATGGTGATGATGCTGCTGATGATGGTGATAATGATGATTATGCAGATGATGGGGATGATGACGCGGCTGCTGATGATACTGATGATGATGTTGATGATTATGATGATGATGGTGCTGATGTTGCTGTTGATGATGATGCTGATGATGATGATGCTGTTGATGATGACGATGCTGATGCTGAGGCTGCTTGTGATGATGGGGATGAGGCTGATTATGATGATGATGGTGTTGCTGATACTGCAGTTGCTGCTGATGATGCTGATGCTGCTGATGATGATAATGTCGATGCTGCTGGTGATGATGCTGATACCGGTAATGACGCTGATGCTGATGATGCTGGTGATGATGTTGGTGATGATGCTGATGTTGATGATGATGTTGATGTTGATGATGCTGATGATGACGATTGTTCTGGTGATGTTGCTTGTGATGCTGATGGAAATGATGTTGCTGCAACTGCAGCAAGTGATGATGTGGCTGATGATAATGGATGATGAGGATGATGGTGCTGCTGATGAGATTACTAATGATGCTGGCACTGCTGATAATGATGATGCTCCTGATGCTGATGCTGCTGATGCTGCTGCTCTTGATGCGGATGATGATGAGGATGATGCTGATGATGGTGATGGTGACGATGCTGACGCTGCTGATGATGATGGTGCTGATGATGACGGTGACAGTGGTGATGCTGATGAGGATGGTGATGCTGCTGATGAAGATGCGAAGGCTGAAGATGCTGGTGATGAATAGGATGATGATGCTGATGCTGCTGATGATGATGATGATGCTGCTGATGATGATGCGGTTGTTCATGCTGCTGATGATTATGGTGCTGATGCTGATGGTGAAGTTGATGCTGATGATGATCCGGATGATGATGATGCTGCTGATGCTGATGCTGATGATATTGCTGATGCTGCGGATGATGATGATGAGGTTGTTTGTGTTGGCGATTATGTGGATGATGATGATGATGATGATGATGTTGATGCAGATGACGACGATGCGGTTGCTGATGATGCTGACGCTGATGATGACTCGGATTAGGATGGTGTTGATACTTATGATGCTGATGCTGAGGATGATCCTGATGATGCTGATGAATATGAGGATGATGCGTTTCATGATGATGCTGATGATGCTGATGATGATTATGATGATGTTGATGATGAACATGATGAGGTTGCTGCTGACAATGATGCTGATAATGATGATGCTGATGATGATACTGATGATGATGGTGATGTTGACGATGAGAATGGTGATGATGACGATGACGATGCTGATGATAAATTATCGGATGGTGTTGATGATGCTGATGATGTTGATCTTGCTGGTGGTCATGATGCTGATGTTGATGATGCTTCTGCTGCTGATGGTTGTGATTGTGATGGTGATGGTGATGATGATGATGATGGTGATGATGATGCTGATGATGATGATGTTGATGCAGATGACGACGATGCGGTTGCTGATGATGCTGACGCTGATGATGACTCGGATTAGGATGGTGTTGATGCTTATGATGCTGATGCTGAGGATGATCCTGATGATGCTGATGAATATGATGATGATGCGTTTTATGATGATGCTGATAATGCTCATGATTATGATGACGTTGATGATGAGCATGATGAGGTTGCTGCTGATGATGATACTAATGATGATGATGCTGATGATGATACTGATGATGATGGTGATGTTGACGATGAGGATGGTGATGATGACGATGGCGATGCTGATGATGAATTATCGGATGGTGGTAATGATGATGATGTTGCTCTTGCTGGTGGTCATGATGCTGATGTTGATTATGCTTCTGCTGCTGATGGTTGTGATGGTGATGGTGATGAAGATGGTGATGATGATGGTGATGATGAGGATGATGATATGGCCACGTTGATGTTGGCGACCCCCTTTGCGTCCACGCCGCGGGTGGGTAGGGATGGAGGGAGGTCAGGCAGCTTCGAGCGTGCAGGCGGGAGGGGGGGCGAGGATGGAAGTTTCTTGAACGTTCTTGGAGTTTGGTTGGCTCCTTTTGGATTCCGTGAGGTCTCGGGAGGGAGGGGGACTCGGGCCTTGATCGAAGGTAGCACGATTTTGATGTTATCGTGCGCTTTGTTGTTTGAACCTATGGTGTAAATCCAAGGGCTTCCTGGCCCCTGGGTTTTTGCAGCTAGGGGCGCCGCACAGGTGTCAGCACTGCTCGGGCGCATTCCCAGCGCGGTCGGCTACCAGCCCACGCTGGCCACGGACCTGGCGTCCTTGCAGGAGCTGACGGTGTCGTCCCTCGTCTTTTCCCCTCGGCATCCACCCACCCCTGTGCACCAATGGCTTCCTTGGTCTCTTCGCTTAGTGGAGGCAGCAGCCACACGGGCATACGCCTACACCGTCGAAGTCGATATCAAGCCAGCACCGTCGCATTCGTCCGCCTCGGTCGTCTGGGTCTTGTTTTGAATTGCATTGGTAATATCTAGTTGACTTCGCCCTAGAACGCTATCGTCCCTGGGTCGTAGACCGGAGGCCTCTTGGATGGCTCTTTAAGCCTCTTTGGCAGCTCTTGGGGGCCTGTGAAGCCTCTCTCTCTGGCGGTTCACTGGGCGCCTCATGGGGGGTCTCTTGGACTTCCTCGGATCTTGGGGACCCTCTCTGGAGGCCTCATGCGGTGTGATCCCGTCCACTGACGCTAATATGAGAGGGCTTGAGTGATCTCTTCCGTGCCCATGGTTTTTGTGCGCGTGGCCTGAGTGACCTCTTCCGTGCTCGTAGTGTTGTGCGCGTGACGCCATTGCCTCCTCTCCCATCCCCCCCCGTCCTTCCCTCCCTCGCGCGGGGAGGTCCTGGTTATTGCACACGTTTGGTATGTTTCGAGCCTCCCGGTAGCGGAGGCAGACCTCAGGGTGCAGGTTTGGAAGGGTGCAGGAATCCCCATGGGAGACCCCAGGGAGCCCCATGAAAGATGCAGGTTTGGAAGGGTACACTTGTGCATCCTTACTCGTCCTCCTCATCCCTGTCGGTTCAGGCTACGGCACGGCCCAGCACTGCGCATTGAAATGGGGCAGCGCAGCCTTGTGCACGCCTGCCGTTCATCAACGGTGGCTGCCCGCTCCTGCTCGCTACCTGTCTGCTTCCTCCTCTGGCCGAGACAGCATCGTGATCAGGGTTGCGCCGAGATCCTTCCTGAGCGCTCAGCGAGTGCCGCATCTACGGCGGTGCCTCGGGCTTCGCCTTCGGCCCTCGGAGCGGTCTGGCCCTCCAAGTCTGCGATCGGGTCGGGATCCGTGCAGGGCAGCCGTGGCCCTGCAGCGGTGACCAGGCCGCGCCCGGCCCTCAGGAGCGCATCACCACCACCCAGAAGGGCTCCATCACCTCGGTGCAGGACGCCGTCTCAGCGGCACGGCGGTCGCCACGCGTGCGCGCGCGCCACGCTGCGGCCAGGGGTGACTTGCCTCGCCGCGCCTGTCACCACCCCCTTGTCAGTACTCGCCTCATGCTGCCCTCGTGTAATCCTCCCTTCCTCTCCTCCTCCTCATCATCATCATCATCAACTGCCCCCGTAGCCATTTTGGCTCAAGCAATTTTGGATTGGGTCAGGTCGCGGTGAGGTGACTGCCACCTGATGCTGTCGTGAGTTTTACCTGTCTCTCCAATCCTTGTTTGCACATGTACACAGATGGCCCGCCGATCGATCAAATATTTGTGTCTCGAGCTTTCCACCTTGCGGAACGAACTGAGTGTGGTAAAACAGCAACTCAGAGTTTTTCTCCGTCTGCATCTCGAGCTGGATCAGCTGTTATCTGATACTGAGAAACCGATGGGCTCGTGCATGAAGCCGAGGGCGCCAGACTTTGTTCCCACCTTGACCGAGGTGCTTCCAGATTGCACCGGGTCCGTTGGCAAGGCAGAATCGCTCCAACAGTGGCCGAACTCGGAATTGGAGTGGGACAATGCCGTGACCAAGGAGCCAGAGAAGGTTCAGCCAGTCATCAATCGGCAGGGTTGTTTTGTACAGAGCTGCCAAAGCAATTTCAAACGGGTTCATAGATGTTCCCTTGTATATCTGAAGGTGCGTTTCTGGGAGCGGTTACCTGATTAAGAGGCTTTGACTTGGACAGTGCAGTTACTTCGACAGAGAGATTGTGTACATGTCTTTGGTTGAATGGTTTCACATGTCTGTGGTTTCACATGTCTGTGGTTTCACATGTCTGTGGTCCCACAGAGTGGCAGGGACAGGCGTTTTGAGTGTCATGGCGATCAGACAGGGTGTCAGCCTTGTATTCTTTGCCATGGCGCTGACATGAAAGCTTTGAGTACCCTCCCTGGCCCTTTCCCTTCCCAACGCTCTTGCTCTCGGCTCGACTCGCGCTCGCTTTCTTCATCGGTCTTGCCAGGCCACTAGACAGCGTTTGGCTGATCCGATTGCGAAGGCCTTACGGCCGGTGCCGCCGACCCTGAAGACGAAGAAGAGGAAGAAGAAGATGTCGAGAGGGGGGAGGGCGGCGCGGTACGGGGTCGCGCGAGGGCAAGACGAATTCTGGCGGCCTCATTCATGGGCCCTTCCTTTTCTCAGGGACCCACCCTGGAGATCTTCTACTTAAGGAGCAGGTCTTGGGTATGGTCTTGGAACTATCTTGGGCGTCTTCGGCCGATCTTTGGGCGACTCGGAGCACTCTTGGGCCGTCTCGGGGGCCATCTTGGGCATTCGGACCTCATTTGAGGCGTTTTCGAGGTTTCGAGGCCGCCCGAGGAAAAACGAATCTGCCCCCCCCCCCCCCATCCCCCCCGGGACCCCCCCCCGGGACCCTCCCCGGGACCTCCCCCGGGACCCCCCCCCCCCTGGGGAAGGGATCAAAGGGAAGGGGCTTCCCTTCGAAGCTACAACGGCATGACGGCAGGAGGGTACGGCCCAAGAAGAATAAAGGGGGGGGCGGCGAGGAAATGATGCCGTTCATTTCATGTCGAATCGACAACGATGACGATCCGAACAACGAAAACACAACGATGTCAATCCGAACAACGAAGACGATTCGGACGAGGAAGCCCCTCGCACACGCCGACAGGGTCGGCGGATTTTTGACGCATGCCACTCGCCGCTTTTCATGTGTCGTGTGCCTGCGAGGGTTTCATCCCTAGCCAGCCCCCCCGGAAGCAGTGCACCACCAACAACAACATCCTCATCGCCTCCTCCCTCAGGCCCCTCTTCCCCTTCATCCCCGTAGAGTTGCCCCCCCCCCCAGAGCCATCCCCGACCGCGTTTTGTCAAGGAGCTCCAGACGGATCCAGTCGCGGCAACGACGGGGGCCTTACGGATGATGATGTTGTTGATGATGATGTTGTTGTTGGTGTTGTTGATCGTGATGGCGATGATGATGGTGATGGTGAAGATGAGGGTGTTGTTGCTGCTGTTGATGATGATGATGCCGATGACGATGCTGCTGATGCTGAATATGCTGGTGATGATAGCGATGACGACGTTGATAATGACGATGATGATGTTGATGATGTTGAGGCTTAAGGTTGATATTACGAAGGTGATGAGGATGATGATGCTGCTGATGATGATGCGGATGTGGAGGTGATGATGATGATGGACATGACAATTATGCTGCTGATGATGGTGATGGACGGTGACGATGATAACGATGATGCTGATAATGGCGATGGTGATGATGATTATGATGGTGATGATGATAATGATGATGGCCATGATGATGCTGCTGATGATCATGCTGCTGATATTTTGATGTTCGTCATGATGCTGATGCTGATGCTGATGCTGACGATGATAATGACGACGATGACGATGATGATGACGATGATGATGATGATGATGATGATGATGATGATGCTGAAGCTGAATATGATGATGCTGATGATGCTGATGCTGACGGTGGCGTTCTCGATGGGGCTGTTCATGATCATCAGGAGGAGGATGACGAGACGTAGGCGGAGGTTGAGGTTGAGGTTGATGTTGAGAATTAGGATGATAACGATAAGGATGAGGAGAATGAGGATGATGATGAGGATGATGAGGATGATAGATGATGATAGATGATGATGATGATGATGATGATGATGATGATGATGATGATGATGATGATGATGATGGTGATGATGATGATGCTGATGATGATGATGATGATGATGATGGTGATGGTGATGGTGACGATGACGATGACGCTGATGATGCTACTGATGATGATGATGATGATGATGATGATGGTGATGATGATGCTGATGATGATGAGGATGATGATGATGCTGATGCTGATGACGATGCTGATGATGATGCTTCTGCTGCTGCTTTTGATGTTGATGAGGATGGTGAGGATCATAATGATGATGATCATGATGATGATCATGATGATGAGGATGATAATGTGGATGCCGATTACGATGATGATGATGAGGATGACGATGAGTATGATGCTGCTGATGATGAAGATGGTAATGATGCTTAGTATGATGATGATGATGCTAATGCTGATGCTGCTCATGGTGATGCTGATTATGATGATGCTGCTTCCGATGATGATGCCAATGATGATGCTGATGACGACGATGATTAGGATTTTGATGATGATGCTAATGCTGCTGACGATGCTTCTGCTGCTGTATTTGATAATGGTGATGGTGATGATGATGATGATGGTTATGATGAAGCTGACCATGATGCTCATGATGCAAATGACGAGTCTGAAACTGCGGATGCTAGTTATAGTGAACAAAATGATGATGCTGATGGTGATTATGATGATAAGTATGATGATGGTGATGATGGGTTTGATGATGATGATGATGATGATGATGGTGATGGTGATGGTGATGGTGATGATGATGATGATGACGACGATGATGATGATTATAATGCTGATGATGCTGCTGTTGATGCTGATGAGGACGACGATTTTGATGATGTTGATGATGATGATGATGCTGATGATGATGACGATGCTGATGATGATGATGATACTGATGATACTGATGATGATACTGATGATGATGATGATGATGATGATGATGATGATGATGATGATACTGATGATGCTGATGATGCTGATGGTGGTGATGATGATGATGATGATGATGGTGGTGGTGGTGGTGGTTGTGGTGGTGGTGATGATGATGATGATGATGACGACGATGATGATGATTATGATGATGGTGATGATGATGCTGCTGCTGCTGATGATGATGATGATGATGATGATCTGATGATGAAGATGGTGGTTATGATGATCATGATGATGATGATGATGATGATGATGATGATGATGATGATGATGACTATGATGATGATGATGATGACGATGATGATGATGAGGAGGAGGAGGAGGCTGGTTATGCTGATAATGATGTGAAGGAGGAGGATGAGGCGGATGAGGAGGATGAGGATAGTAGGAAGGAGGAGGAGGAGGAGTAGAAAGAGGAGAAGGAGGAAGAGGAAGAGGCAGAGGAAGTGGGATGAGGACGGTGAGAAGGAGGAAGAGGAAATGGAGGAGAGGGATGAGAGATAAGATCAGGCACAACTGCGGACGCATCGCTTCTCCGAGGCCGGTTTCTCATCTCGAGTCGTTTCTTGACTGCCCGAAGGCCCAGAAACGGCTCCTGGAGGCCCAGAAGAACGAAAAGCGTCTGGGTAGGTTTACGTATTTTGATAGCCGCAAGAGTTCTCATGATCCATTCGAAATCTTTTCAAAATGGGGGTGCCCGCACCCCTTGCCGAGTCGATCATGGCCAACTTTCCGAGCCGCGTACAGGCGTGGCGACGAGAATCTTCAGGAGCGTCTCCAAAACATCCAAAACAAAGATTTCGTCGACGACGTCGGTGACCCAGGCATCTGACACCTCGAAATCAGAGGCGGCCGATTTGTAGCCATTCTTTGGCCTGGAGGATGGTCTGGGGCCCTGGGATGATTAAAGAAACGGCACGGCATGAAATCTGGCCCTGGGGAAGGGGTCGAGAGGTCGGGAAAACGACTTCGAACAAATCGCCGTCGTCCGACCAAGGCTGTGTACGTGCCGGCCGACGACCTGACCGACCCTGCGCCGGCGCGGGGGGAGGGGTGGTGGTAGCAGCCTGTGCGGGCGGGGGGTGTATTGCGCTTGTCTCCGAGGAGGGATGAGGAGGAGGGGTGGAGGAAGGAGGAAGGGGGTCCCCTCCCTCTTCCCACTCCTTCTTCCCCCTCTTCCTCCTCCCTCATCCCCCCCTTCTCACTTTCGTCGTCGTCGTCCTCCTCCTCCTTCCCCTCCCCCCCTCCTCATCCTTCTTCCTACCTCCTCTCACCCGCCGAGGGAGTAAGAATGGGGATGAAGATGAGGATTTTGATGATTGGTGAAGGTGGTGCTTGTAGTGGTGCTGGTGGTATTATTATTATTATTGTTGATGGTGATGGTGATCATGATAGTGATGATAATGATGTTGATGATGATGCTGATGATGATGATGAGGATGATGATGATGCTGATGCTGATGACGATGCTGATGATGATGCTTCTGCTGCTGCTTTTGATGTTGATGATGATGGTGAGGATCATGATGATGATGATCATGATGATGATCATGATGATGAGGATGATAATGTGGATGCCGATTACGATGATGATGAGGATGACGATGAGTATGATGCTGCTGATGATGAAGATGGTAATGATGCTTAGTATGATGATGATGATGATGCGAATGCTGATGCTGCTGATGATGATGCTGATTATGATGATGCTGCTTCCGATGATGATGCTGATGACGACGATGATTAGGATTTTGATGATGATGATGCTAATGCTGCTGACGATGCTTCTGCTGCTTTATTTGATAATGGTGATGGTGATGATGATGATGATGGTTATGATGAAGCTGACCATGATGCTCATGATGCAAATGATGAGTCTGAAACTGCGGATGCTAGTTATAGTGAACAAAATGATGATGCTGATGGTGATTATGATGATAATGATGATGATGGTGATGATGGGTTTGATAATGATGATGATAATGATGATGATGATGATGATGATGATGATGATGATGGTGATGGTGATGGTGATGGTGATGGTGATGATGATGGTGATGATGACGACGATGATGATGATGATTATAATGCTGATGATGCTGCTGTTGATGCTGATGAGGACGACGATTTTGATGATGTTGATGATGATGATGCTGATGATGCTGATGATGATGACGATGATGATGATGATGATACTGATGATACTGATGATGATGATACTGATGATGATGATGATGATGATGATGATGATGATGATGATGATGATGATGATGATGATGATGATGATGATGATGATGATGATGCTGATGATGATAATGCTGCTGCCGATGATGCTGATGCTGATGCTGATGCTGCTGATGATGATGATGATGAGGAGGAGGAGGAGGAGGAGGAGGAGGAAGCGGAGGAGGAGGAGGAGGAGGAGGAGGAAGAGGAGGAGGGGGATGAGGGAAGGTGGAGGAGGAATGAAGGGGGAGCGAGGAGGAGCGAGTAGGAGGAGGAGGAGGAGGAGGAGGAGGAGGAGGAGAGCGAGGGAAGGACCGAAGGTGGGAGGTAGTGCGGGCGGGCGGGAAGGAGGTAGGAAGGTAGGGAGGCAGTCAGGAGGGAGAAGAGAGACGGGGAGAGGCCACCACCTTCGCGCACCTCGACGCCACGACGGTGCTGTCGAGACAGATCGCGGAGAGCACGCCCGCCCATCCTCTCCCAGCGCGAGAGCCGCGCTCTCATGCGGTCCCCGTGTGCCGCCCGCCGGCGCGGAATGGGCGCGGGCCAGCAGAGCGTCGGCGGCGAGGCTCGGGAGCGAGAGGGGTGAGTTTGTATGGGAACGGCGCTCGGGAGCGATGTTGTGGGGGAGGGTGAGGGGGGAGGGAGAGGTGGAGGAGGTGGAGAGGGTGGAGGGAAGGAGTTGGGAGCGGTGGAGGTGGGGGGAGGGAGGAGCGATGGGGAGGGTGGGTGGGTGGGTGGGTCGGTGGGTGGGGTGGTGGTGGTGGCGGGGTGTCGGTGGGTGATTGTGATTGTGATCATGATGATGCTGATCATGCTGATGCTGATGATGACTACGATGAGGATGAGGCTGCGGATGCTTATGATGCTGATGCTGATGATGAGGTCGATGATAACGGTGATGATGCTGACGATGATGATGCTGCTGATGATGGTGCTAACGGGCTTGATGATGCTGCTGATGATGATGACAGTGTGGTGGTGGGTGGTGGTGTTGACTATGATGATGATGATGATGATGATGATGATGATGATGATGATGATGATGATGATGATGATGATGATGATGATGCTGTTTATGCTGTTTATGCTTTTTGACGGTGAGGGTGTTGGTGATGGTGGTGATGGTCATGGTGATTGTGTTTGTTACGATGCGAAAGGCTATGATGCTGATGTGACCGAAGACGGTGATCACGATTATGGCGACGATGATGACGGTGACGATGCCGACGATGATGTTGTTGCTGTTGCTGCTGCTGGTTATGTCGATGCTGATGGTGGGGTTGTGGTGGTGGGTGGTGGTGCTGATATTGTGACCGTGACGGTGCATGCGATGATGGTGATGGTCATGTTAATGGTTTTGGTTACGATACGGAATGCAATGATTTTGGTGTGGCCGGGGGAAAAAAGCACGATGCTAACAACGATTATGATTATTACGATGACGATGATCATGTTTTTGATGATGGTGATGCTGATGATGATGGTGATGATGATGCTGCAGATGCATATGACAATGAACATGCAGACGACGCTGATGATGATGATGATTCTGATATGCTGCTGCTGCTGATGATGATGCAACTGATGATCGTGATTATGATGACGATGATGACGACGATGATGTTGCTGCTGCTGATGACGATGTTGATGATGACCTTGCGTACTATGACGATTCTGATGCCGATGCCGATTGCGACGTCGATGGCGACGATGGTGATGTTGCTGTTGAGGATGTGGCTGTTGATGATGCTGCTGCTGATGATGATCATGATCATGATCATGATCCTGCTGCCGCTGATGCTAACGATGATTACGCTGCTGCTGCTGTTGAAGATTCTGATGCTGACTACGAGGATGATTCTGATGATGCTGCTGATGATGATGATGATGCTGCTGTTTATGCTGCTGATGATGATGACGCTGATTGTGATGATGATGGTGATGATGCTAATGATGGTGATGATGATGATGATGATGATGAAGATGAAGATGAAGAGGATCATGATGATGATCCGTAGCCATTTTGGCTCAAGTTTGAAACGCTCCCCCGGCGCTTCGAACTTGGACGCTGCCAAGGGGTTGGCCCGAACGTCTTGAGGTTAGGCCTCGCAATCTTCTCCAGTCGTGCGCCAAAGCACGCCGTGATATTTACACTCGTGCTGCTCAGTCTGCATCGGCGCAATGGCTCCCAGGGGTGTGAAGAAGGATCCGAAGGCTACCCGCGCGGAGAAGAAGTCAGCGAAGGGGCGTTTGTCGTCCAGCCCCCTGCGCAACACCTCCAGCAGCCCGTCATACAAGCGCGAGAGGCCCACCAGCACGTCGCCGTCGAGACGCCGTATCACATCAAGTGGCAGCAGTGACAGGCACTCACAAAGTCTCAGTCGGAACGGTGACAGTGATGATGATGGGTTCCGCCAGGTCTACCCGCGCCAGTCCAACGTGAAGAATATGGAAAGCAAAATTGACTCCATCCTTGACTCGATCAAGAATCTTGCGGGCGCCGTCCACTCCTCGCACCAGGAGATGGCCCAGCTCCAGCAGGAGGTTGAGATATCCAACAAGCGTTGCGTGGACCTTGCCACCCAGATGAACTCTCTCGCGAGCCAGGTTCAGTCGTCATCTGCCCACGCAGACCTGCAGATGAAAGACTTACAGCAGCAGATCGACAATTTGCATGGCAGGCTTTGTCATTGTGAGAGCACTCCAACGCCCATAGGTGGTGGTGGGATGGATCTGGACTCCCAGCCCTCCGTAGCGCAGCAGAGGATCAGTGCCATTGAGGACCAACTCTCCAAGATCACGAAGAGCCCCACGCCTCTCAAGCCATCTTCGGAGACTCGAATTTCTGCCATGGAACGTGCGCATCGAATCGTGATTGTCGGCTTCCCCCGCAAGATGATGCAGGCTACCCTTCGTACTGCGGCAGGTTTATTTCTTCAAGCTGGCGTCCCTCAAGGGCGTCCTCAGCCAGTTGTTCGTGCCTTTGATATGACTAAGAAAGTGACATTAGACTTCGCAGATTCGACGAAAGCTTCGGACTTTCTGACCAACATTGCAGCTGCGCAACCGATCCACTTCCCCGACCCTGTCTTCCCTGGCCAGTCCATCGAGCTCCGCGCCAAGAGGGACATGGAGCCTGGCACTCGCCTCCTCCTCCTTGCCATGGGCAAGATTCGGGGGCTCTTGGCGGCAGCGATGCGGCCACTTCAGAAGGAGATGGGCTCGAACGGCCTCGGCGGTGACATCTACGTGCTTCGCGCTCCCGAGGGCCCCGTCATCCTCTTCCACGTCTCCATCGACAGTAGTGGAGTGAAACCTGCGGTCGCACTTCAGTATGAGCCTGAACAGTTTGCGGAGTTTCACGCCTCTGTCACCCCTCTCCTTGATCAGATCAAGGATGGGGTGGCCCACCTGAACGCTTCGCTTCCCTTTTGAGGGGTCTCGAGGCGAGCCCAGGGCTATGGGCGCAGCTGCCTGGTCACAGCATGAGCTGTGCAACTTTGCTGCGAGCCCTGTCGGGTAAGCTTATCCGCCTGGCCCCCTGGCTCCTAGCGGTGCTCCGTGCGCTGAAGATGTGCCCTTCGCTGTGGGTGCGGCCCTCCATGTGCAGGTGCCCCTGTCTGTGGAAGCTGCGAGCCAGGGTCTGCCTCTTCTTAATTCATCTGTCGGGCCCGTCCCCTTTTTCCCCTCCTCCTCCCTTAAGATCGGTTCTTGGAACACTCATGCTTTCTTTGCAGCGGTTCGCAGTCAGAGTGTCAAAGCCCCTGCTCGTTACGCACGTTACCTCAAGTACGCAGAGCAGCTCACTGTTCTTTGTGCACAAGAGTGTCATGGTCAAGTTGCTGATATCAATGAGCTGCAGTGTGAGCTTCGAGGTTTTGAGATCGGTCACTCGCTATTCGTTGACTCTACTCGTGAAGGGGGCGCCCTCACTTGCATCCAGCCTTCCCTCTGCAAGTCGTTCTCGTCCATTGTCCACGCTCCCATCGTTGAAGGGCGCATTCTGAAGTCTTACCTCTCGGGGCCAATGGCGACCTCTGCACCATAAACGTTCACATGCCAAATACTAGCGACCTCCTCACCATCTATGCAAGAGCACTGCGTGACATCATCGTCTCCCTCCCCTCTCCCACGGCATGCACTGCCGTTCTGATAGGCGACTGGAACTTTGCGCTGTCCGCTGACAGTCGTTTGAGAGCGGACGGCAATGGATGGTCATCTGGAGATGACTCGCACACGAAGCTTTTCTTTCGGCACGGCGCACAGTGGACGGAATTTTACCAATCCGAGGACACAAGGCGGGAGGTCAGGGAGGGCACGATTGTTCACACTGCGCGTCTCGATCGAGCCTACTGCAAGCTGCCGCCTGCTCTGCTGGCAGATCTTACTGTCAGAGGGGAAACACTTGGAAGGCTACAGTCGAACATGGCATCGGACCACATCCCCGTGGTTGTGACCCTCAGCACCTTCAAGCCCCAGGAGGCCCCCAAAAAGCTCCCGAAGTGGCTGGTCCGTCACCCTCTCTTTCGGGACATCCTGGATCCCGCGATTTCCGCCCTCTACGCCTTGGACTTGAATCCCTGGGACCGCTTGGGCCGCATCAAGAACCTGATGTTTGAAGTCGCTGAAGAGGTTCGGTCACAGTTAGCGTCCCAGCCGGCGGAGACGACGGAGGCCAAGCACTTCCGAACCCTCCAGGCTCTTCGAGCGTGGCGCGCTGGTGACGAGTTACGCGTGCGTCTCGCTGTTCGCTCTTATCCTGCTCTAGCCGCACACTTTCCATCCCCTGATCTTCGCGATGCCCGCGTTCTCGCTCTCTGCCAGCATGCTCAGAAGCTGCGCATCACTTTGCTCGCAGAGGAAGAGCGAGAGCTGGGGGCAGGTGCTGCGAATATCTCTGAGGATGCCCTTGACAGTGCCCGCAAAAAGGTCAATACTCGTAAAGAGCTCTGGAGGAAAATGAAGCGACGCACCTGGCTCCAGGGCACCCTCTCGGATACGGATGCACCGAGTTCTTCAGAGACCGAAGCTGCTGACGCTCTTCTGCAGCACTGGAAGGGAGTTTTTGCAGCCCCCGAGGTGGACGCCTCGCTTTGGCCTGAGCTCTCTCGTTTCATCAAGCCGCTGTCTGTCCCTGCCAACGCCACCTTTAACGAGCTTCAGGAGGAGGGATGGATATTGGGAGAGATTGAGTGGGATGACCTGATACGCCATAAGATGGACAGCATGCCTGGGGAGGACGGCATTCCCTACTTTGCCTGGGGGGTACCTGCTGCCAGGAACGCCCTGTATGAGTGCTACTGCCGTCTGTTCACTCACCCGACCTCGAGCATCCCCGATGACATGAAAAGTGCCATCATGATTTTCCTCCCCAAGAAAATCACTGAACAGGAGATCGGCGAGGGTGTCTTTCGAAAGCCTCAGGTCACGCGACCTCTTAGTATGACGAACACGGATTGCAAGCTTCTCTCTGCTTCTATACTTGGGAATTATCCAGGAAAGTTGCGCTATCTAACCTGTTACGGAGTCCCCAACAATGTTTCAAGGGTCGGGACATGATTGTGAATGTTATTGAAGCTGAGCTGTTCATTCTTCGGAAGCATATTAAAGATCGGTACACGTCTGGATTGGTCCTCACGGACTTCGAGTCCGCCTTCCCATCGATCTTTGTCCCCTGGGTCCTACACGTCCTGGAGAAAATGATGGTCCCTGGTGCCGTTGTCAACTTCTTCAAGGAACTCTATGACAATAACACTGCCACGGTTTCGCTTTTCGGTCGGCTATTGGACAGCTTTGCCATCGAACGAGGCGTACGCCAGGGGGGGCCCAGTTCGATGCTACTGCTCACACTTGCGGTGGAGCCGGTACTTGCGTGGCTGGCCTGGCGCCTGCCCGACCACATCGAGCTCTCCCTAGCATATGCTGACGACTTCTGCTTTGGCATGCGGTGTCTGTTTGATGGGATAGGCCCTCTCTTTGAGTGCTTACGGAGCTTGCAGCCTGCAGTTGGCCTCGCCCTCAACCCCCGAAGTGTCAGGTCCTCCTCGCTTACCCCAACCTCAAGGAGCCCCTCCAGGACCTCCTCTCGGACTTAGGCCACCAACTGGAGCTTCTAAAGATCGCGGTCTGTTTGAAATACCTAGGAGTCTGGATTGGGCTGGGGGCGGAAGAAGTTACCTGGGGGGAAAACATCGTCAAGCTTCGGAAAAGGGCGAGGGAGATCAGGGACCTTGGTTTGGGGCTCGCCCAGTCGATCGTGCTGTTTAAGGCCTACTGTGTCTCGCTGCTATACTTTATGTCGCAGGTGCACGCGCCCTCTATCTCGCTCATCAAGACATATCAGGCCTGCGTTCGCTTGTTGACAGCGGGCCCGAATAATGCACTATCTTATGACATGTGCTGCAACCTCACCCAGCTCGGCCTCCCCATAGAGTTTCCTCACATCACCCTCGTCACTGCCTCCTCCAGAGCCCGATACATCGCTAGATGCGACGAGTTCCCGAGGCTGCGCCAGCTCTATGACAGTACCTTCTCTGACGACGATTGGTGCATAGTGAGGCGGATCGCCGGCTGGAATACCACCTCGTTTGCTGCCAAGCTCTTCTCGTTTAAGGACTGGGTTGACCAGAAAAACTTGGAGATCCGTTTTGAGCGCAAGGATATTCAGAAGCAGTATCAAAAACAGCTGAAGCTTTATTTCGTTCCCGCTGACCCCCCCTATCCTGGCGCCCCACAGAAGGGTGAACAACTGGATCCCTGGCACTTCCCTGGACTCCCTCTCCTTCGTCCTTCGTCTCAAGCCCCTGGCGACCAGGTGCAACATGTGCATCCCCCTGTCCGTGATCCGTATCCTGTCGCGCTGTGTTTGCACGAGCTCTCGCTTCCATTCCTCACCTCGTGGTTGCCTCATGGGATGCGTGAACTCCGAGGCCCCCGACTCCGACTTCGATGACATGAAACACTATTTTCATTGTCCTCGTCTTCATCGGTTATTTCAATCTTGGATGGGTTCTTGGGCTCCGAGGATTCCTGAGGGTGCGCCCTGGCTTGCCTCCTTTCTTCTGTTTCACGGGTTGGGGCCCGACGCCAGCCTCCTGGCTGCTATGCTATGCGATGCTTTTCTTAGTGCACACACGGCCTTCCGCCTGCGCCTCCCTGGCTCGCCTCAGCAAAACTTCGAGGCGCGTTTGCGAGTGCAGGCCCGTCGCCATAAAGCCTGCCGCCAGCTCTGGGGCCGTCAACAGCTGGAGATGTGGGCTGATCGGCTGCCTTTTTTTATAATATAAAAAAAGAAAAGATGATCATGATGATGATGCTGCTGATGATGATGCTGCTGCTGATGATGATGATGATCGTGATGTTGAGGAGGATGACTCTTCTGATGATTATGATGCTGCGTTTCCTGCTACCGCTGATGATGAAGATGCTGCTCCTCATAATGTCGATGATGGCTGTCATAATGTCGGTGGTGAGGCTGATGCTGATCTGCTGTTGCTGGTGATGATGACGCGGATTATTACGATGCTGACTGTGATGCTGAGATTGCTGTTCTTCGGCGGAGGGTGATGGGCGGGGTAGAAGAGGAGGCTAAGCACGAGGAGGGAGATTATGACAGGAGTAAGCTGCTCTACGCTGGCGGGCTTTTGCAAATTATTGACGCTTCGCGTATCCCCACCAGGGGGTTCGTCGCATTCGATGCTCCTTGGTACGCGTCCTCGTCTTATCCACGGTTGGCAGTCGCAGCGACCTGTGCCTGGTTGGATTGGGACGGTTGTACCTTTCGCATTGCGTCACATCATGTTACCTGATGGCTCGCTTGCGATCGCACCTGTTCGAGGTTCTCTCTTGGGCCTGACGTGCTCGTTTGGTTTCAGACACCACGAATCTCGCGCCTTTGCTCCGTTGGTGCGTACTCTGAAGCTGCGACGGTTCGGTGGCGCTGTCAGAGTCCTACTTTCCTATGGTATGCAGTCTGGCGACAGCTTGCGTGTCCTTCGGTCGCTCTGCTTGAGCTTGGCAGACACCCTGGGGCCCCTTTGCACGCCTTTCCTGCGCATAGGTTGGCAGACTCCCATGTTCAGCTACCCCTGACATGGTGGGGGTCTTGCATCGCGCCATTTTGGCAGCGTAATCACTGCCCTGGGCTGTTTGCCGTCAGACTCCTTGGGCTCAGCTCCTGCACCCGCCGCCTGGCGCCGGCCGCGCTCGCGCGCGCTCGGCCAATTTGTAGCGGCCGCAGCCCGACCGCTACCCGCCGCCGCTGGCGCTTCCGCCTGCGGCTGTAAAAAAAAGTATCCCCACCGGGCACACCTCGCATTCTCTGCGATTTTTTACTGCTTGTGCGTTGCCTGTTGTAGCTAATTCCCCTCGCCTGCTGGCCCAGACGACGCCTTCCGCTCCCTGCCCGCTGCCTCGGAGCCGCCGGCCAAAAAAACATTATCCCCACCAGGACGAGCAGGCGAGAACCAACAGGACCATCCGCACCCACGCGGGGCACCTCCCCCTCGGCAGCGGCGCACCCAGAGCTACCGACCAGCGGCGGCAGGGCGATCAGGGCACCACCACCCCGTGGCACGCCGACATCCGGCAACTGCTGAGCAGGGGACCCGCCAACAGCGCCTTCGCCACGTCCCAGTCAACCCTAGGCCCCGACGACGGCACAAGAGAGGAATATTTGGACCGCGCCATCTTCCTGCTCGACGCGAGGCAAAGAGACGACGAGCATAATGGCAGACGCTCCACGCACATCCCGGAGGACATATCCTCTATCAGCGGGGACCAGGCGCAGAGCTTGGCCCACGAAGTGTTGATCCTGGAAGAGAGCCGGGAAGCTGGTTCTCAAGGGCCATATGTTTGTGCCTGGCCCCCATCTACCTACCCCTGCTCAGGCCAGTCCTGCAGGTGAGAGGCCTGGACCCTAGGCCGTACGAGGTCATCGCCAGGTGGCTCCCCCTGGCAGGCGTGCGCGCCCCAGCGGACATCGTACGCCGGCTCAGAACGGACGCCGAAGTCATCGACCAGTCCATTTACGCAACCTTGGACAACGAGCGCATCAGGATCCTGCTAAAACAGCATGCTATACGCAAACCGAGGCCAGCAAAAGGGTCCGCGTCCTGATTGAAAGCCTGGGCGACGGGATCGCCTCAGTTGGAGCGCCCCCAGGGGGCGTCACCATACTCCCTGGGGAAGGGGGGGGACCCGAGCCTGTGCCGTCCTGGGACTTCGGGGACGACAGCCCAATCTGCCTGTGCTGCAGCGGCGAGCTCACGGGCTCAGCCGAAGTCCTGATCCCTTGCAGACGCAGATTCCACAGCGAATGTCTCAGGCAGTGGCGGAACAGCGAGCCTGCAGTGTTCAGGGAGGGAGGCAGGTCGATGCCCACCCGTCGCCCGCAATGTCGCACAGACGACCGAGGCGGCGATATCGCAAGGCTCACCGAGCAGGCCCACAACAGGGACGGCGAGCCGGCAGACGACCCTCTCGATCTGGCGCAGTTCCGCGACGGCGCGGTCCCGCCCCGCAGACCAGTCATCAGACTGGATGAGCTAGCCGAGGCAGTTCAACGGCTCGGTCCCGAGCTGGACTGCCTGCGCGCCCAACTAGTATCCCTCAGAAGGCCACGCACGTACGTGACCGTCGGGGACACGAGGAAAATCCACGCCCGCATACAGGAGAGACGGAACGCGCTCAGAGGCGAAGACACTGGCATGGAGGTCGACAAGCCCCCCACAGGCCCAGGAGACGGGGGAGGCTGCCCGGACCCGTCCGACCCTACCGACTCCGCCCCGCCTCAGCCAGACCCACCGCCGCCTCCAAGTCAGAATCAGACAGGCCCCGCTGATCACCCACGGGCGCTGGGCTCCCCTGCTATAGGTTGCTGCCCACCAGACGACGAACCGAGGGCCCGCGGCCTCCCCGCGTTCCCAACCGCCCTTCTCGCCGCGACAGCGAGGGACATCGCTGCAGACCTGGTCGCCCCCGGGCGGCCACGCGTGGGGGGCAGGGCAGCGGGCGGCGCGGAGGTCACCTACGCGCTGGCCGGCCCAAGCGCGCGGGGGCATATTCGAACCCTGGCGAGTGAGCGCGCCTGGGCCGCAGACAGGCCGGCCGCGGGGATTTCCATCGCGACCCTGGCCCACGCACAGGCTTCCCAGACGGAAGGTGCCTGGGCAGCGGCTGGGCGGCAGGAGGCCCCCTGCAAGATCCTGGCGTTCGAACTCACAGTCGAACTCACAGCCATGGCCAACGCGTAGTAGGGCTGCAGAACGGCCAGCATAATCACGCACCTCGTGCCAATTAGGAACCCGTGTAAGACAGGGCGCGCGAGCCCTCCAATGCAGCAGATGATCGCAGCGCAATTTGGCATCTCAGGCAGACCTCTGCGCGCAGTGCTCCCGCCCTCCATCGCGGCGCACTGGGGCGCAGCCAGCGCAGACGCGACGGACGCTCTACACATCCTGGTCCCAGACAGTGGAAACGACAGCGCGGTCGCCCAGATCACCCGATGGCGGGATGAGCTTGCCAACCTGGAGAGCTCCAACATCCTCGCCGGCTGCGCCGCCGCCAGGGTCCAGCTCCCGAAAGACGAACTCCTGCTTGCACAGGGCCTTGAGCAGTTCTTTCGCCGCGCGCTCCGCTGTAGACCAGCGCGCCCATCGGCCAGGGCCCAAGTGCTCGGGGGACCGTTCGACAGCCTGCAGGCTGCAGCTCGAGCAACCGCGACGCGCCACGCCACTGCGTGTACTTGGAGGACGCATGAAACCAGCGACTCTGTGCGCATTCCCGTCCCGAGTAAGGCTCAATGCCCGGCTTGCGCTATCGCATCCGCGGCAGCGAGCGCCCTCGGGCACCGAGTCGGGATCTGTGGCGCCGGACTCCTCCTACTCAGGATGCCCGGGCGGGCAGCAGCTCCGGCGTTGCGACACCTTCGCGACGAGCTGCCGCGCGCCCCGGGGCGCGACGACCCGAAACGGGCCCTTGCCCCCAGAAGAATACTTTAAGAAGGTAACTGGGACGGAGGTCCGTCCTTCGTCCGCCTGGCAGACCCGGAGGGCGGATTCCACCTATGGTGGGACCTCGCTGACATGGGACAGACCCGCCCAGAAGACGCGCTCGAAGCCATCGAGGCCGCCGCGGGCCCCGGCGCCGCAGAGCTGGCTTTGACAGCGTACGCCTGGTTCCCAGACGTGTCAGACTACAGGCGCATGACGCAAGTCAGAATACGTCTGGCAGCGGCGGACACGATCCCAGAGGTCCGCAGGGGCTATTCTATAGTTCTGCGCAACAGAACTAAAAAATAGTCCCGTACTAAAAAATAGCCCCGCACTAAAAATAGTCCCGTGCTCTGAACATAGCCTCATATAATAGAAAAGCAACCATGAATAACATATGAGTCGTTTATATACATTACATATATAGTAGAAAAAGTGTGAGAGCGCGCGCGCGCGTGTGCGAGTGCGTTTGTTCGCAGGTTGGTTGAAGAAAGTCGATCATGTAGGCAGGTTTCAACTGAGACGTCTCGCAATTCGAAGCCGCCAGGCAAACTATTGTTTTCGTCGTGATCATCGCAGGAAGTGCCATAGAACTTCCTGCGACGATCGCGACGAAGGCAACGCTTGACGCGCAGGAGGGGGAATCGTCGCCCGAGTGTTTCGGCTCAATGATGCAGAAGAGGAGAAAAGGGAGGGCCCGCGCGCCAGGGCTCGACGATGTAGATTCGCTGGCAGATGTGCTGGGCGCTTTCGCCGCGGACGTTCGAGATCCGAACGAGCGGGGCGCCCGGCTGCAGGAGGGGGGGGAGGGGCAGGGGGGGGGGGGGGGGGGGGGGGGGGGGGGGGGGAAACAGCAGGAGGAGGAACTAGCTGAGAAGGAGGAGCAGAAGGGGCAGGAAGAGGAGGGGGAGGAGGAGGAGGAGGAGGAGGAGGGGGAGGGGGGGAGGAGGAGGGCAGGTGCTAGGGCGGCGAGGAAGAACCATAGGACGCCCGCGACGGCAAGTAAAAGGAGAGGCGCGGGCGGGCGGGCCACGCGCGGGAGAGGGTGAGGGCTGAGGATTGACGAGGCAATGGGTCAGAGGAAGCATGGGATGGAGGATGAGGAGGACCAGGCGGTGGAGGGCAGAGGGCGGCGCCCAGGTAAATCGAATGCGACGAACACATGGATTCCGCTGTGGGCGACGATCAGATCATTAAACATAAAATGCTCATGAGCCAGCTGCTGCGCCTACAGCCTCGAGGAGGGGCCCCGCAGAAGGTCGCGAAGGCTCGCGCCCCCTGCTCTCCATCCTGCCGTCCCCACCCTTCTCCCACCTGCATCCTTCTCCCGCCTCCTCCGAAAAATAAGGGGTCATCCTCTCTTCCCGCCAGCCACCTTTCTCTCCCCGCCGTTCCTCGCCGTCGTCTGAATACCTTACCTCGTCCTCGCTCTCGTCTCGAGACCTCGTTCTTGCCGTCGTCGTCCTACCCATCGACCTTTTTTTTTTTTTTTTTTTTTTTTTTTTTTTTTTTTTTTTTTTTTTTTTTTTTTTTTTTTTTTTTTTTTTTTTTTTTTTTTTTCCACTCGGTTAGTCGTGGGATTCGAATTCGAATCTAATCTAATTTTCCGCATTTCGTCATCGCCATCCTCACTCTTCTCCCTGGTCTCCTCTGCGTGATCTTCCCCCTCCTCCTCACTCTTCTCCCTGACCTCCTGATACTTGACTTCCTTCTCACGTTTCCGAACGATTTCGTTAGCTTGAGGCTGCATTCTTCAAGATAGCTGTCGACCGCGAGAGCACGTGGAAGCTCGCGTCGGAGCGCGAGAATTGGGCAGAACATATCTCGAAGAGCCTGAGGGGCATGCTGCGCGGTGTCTCCAAGTGCGTTTCCAGGACTGCATTGCCTCCCCCTCCTCCCCCTCCTCCTCTTCCTTTGCCTCCCCCCCCCCCTCTTCCTCCTCCTCCTTCTCCTTCTCCTCCATTGCCAAGGGCGCATGTCGAGACGCCATCTCAGATGTCATCGCGGGCGTCATCTCAGATGGCGTCTGCGATAACACCTGAAATGAAGTCTTAGAACGCGTCTGCAATCCTTTGCGCCCGGCCCGAGTCAGGACGACGATCCCAGATTTCGCGACGCCCTTCGCGAAGATATGCGCCGCTGCAGAGGCAGGAGAGGCAGGGGGGCAGGCAGAGGAGGCAGAGGGGAAGGCAGAGGAGGCCGAGGAAGCAGGAGAGGCTGGGGCATCCCAGCGCGGCGCAGAGGCGGCGCGGCCGGCAGAGGCTCGGCGCCCTTCCCATCCCCCCCCCCATCCCACCTCCCCATCTGTCCTCCATTTCTCCGCGTCCAGGCGCAGAGGACGAAGGGCAAGAGAGGCGCCGCGCTCGAACCCATCGCTTCGCTGGGAGGCTGGTCGCTCGGCTGGCAGGCCGAGATGCAGGCGCCGCATCCTGCTTCTTCTCCACCCCCTCTTCCTCTGCCTCCTCCTCCTCTTCCTCCGCCTGCTTCTGCTCCTCCTCCTCCTCCCTCCTACTCGTCCTCCTCCTCGCCCTCCTCATTCTCCGTCCTCCTCCTCCTCCTCCTCCTCCTCCTCCTTTCTCCTTGCCATGTTGTAGCTGCCGCCATTCTCGTATTTTCGTCGCCCTCCTCTTTCTCATGCTCATCCATCGTCCTCACTCCTCCTCCAGGTCGATCGCCCTCCTGCCGATCCTCAGACATCCGCCTCACTCCCATTCCCCTAGATCATCCTTTCGCCCTCCCCCAGTCAGCGCGGCGCATCCCAGAGTCTGGCGACAAGAAGCGGAACAACCCAGAGTACACGGTCGCTATGATAGAGGACGGGTGCGAGCTTCTCGTCGCAACATGGGGCGACGGCTTCAGATGGGAGGTGTCATCGTCGTCGTCGTCGTCGAGCGTCAGGCGAGTTTAGCCTCGCGTTCCTTTTTGTCGGACTCCTGGGGTGGTGGCTCGCCAGAAGCTGGATCCGAATCGAAATTCAGATCAGAAGCCGCTCCAGGGATGGGGTCGAGGCATCACTCTCACTCGCCCAGCACTCTCGCTACCTTGCTCGTCGTCGGCGTCGCACTCCTCCTCCTCCTCTTCCTCCTCTTCCTCCTCCTCCTCATTATGGTTCTCCTGCAGCTCTCCGTCTCCACCACCTCCTCCTCCTTCTCCTCCTCCTCCTCCTACTCCCCCTCCCCCTCCGCCTCCCCCCCCTCTCCCCCGCCCTCCTCCTCCCCCTCCTCCTCCTCCTCCTCCTCCTCCTCCTCCTCCCCCTCATCCCTCTCGTCCTACTCGCCCTCCCCCCCCTCGCTTTCTCTCCATCTCCCCTGACTCCCGTCCTCCTCCTCCTCCTCCTCCTCCTCCCCCTCCTCCTCCTCCTCCCCCCCCCTCCTCTTTGCCATCTTTATACGCGCGCCACTGAAAGGTGCCATGCGCTGAAGCAGCCAGCTTCCAGGAGAAAAGTGGCAAGGCAAAAAGCCTGGTCACTAAGGAATGGGATTGGAAAGATGGCAAATCGAAAGCGCGTCTCAAGTGGGTCAACAGGCAGGGGGAACCGAGAATATTACAGGTTCCCCACAAAGGCCAATTCATGCAAATGGGGGGCTGGGCTGAGGGCAAGGAAGAGGCGGGCCAGAATTGGCTCCTCGCCGCGCTTGATCGGCACGTCGCAGGCACTGCAGACAAGCCCATGTTGGAAGCAGAGAAACATGCGTGGCTAAAACAAAACGAGAAACGCACGGCGGTTCAGAAGCGCCCATCGGCTGCACAGAAGCGCCCGGCTGCCAAACAGAGCACCGAGCACGACAAGGGCAGCCAAGGCGACGTCAGAAATGAGAAGCAGGCCGCGAGGGCAGAGGCGGCGAAGGAGGAGGACGAGGAGGACGAGGAGGACGAGGAGGAAGAGTGGGAGAAGGAAGAGGGGAACGATGGCGAAGAGGAGGGCGCAGAGGAAGAGCAGGCAGAGGAGGATGAGCCAGAGGATTCAGGAGGAGAGGGCGCAGAGGACGCCAGGAGGCCGCAGGTGCTGCAAAGAGGAAGGCAGAGGCCACAGGCGCAGCAAAGAAGGAGGCAGAGGCATCAGGCGCAGCAAAGAATGAAGAGAAGGATGCGGAAAAGGATGATGAAAAGCAACAGGTAAAGAAAGAGGGGGAGGAGGGGGGGGAGGCCGAAGGCGCAGCAGAGCTGGGCATGGCCGCGGCACAGGAGGCCAGGCGCTCAGGCATGAAGCGCCCAGCAGCTCACGCGGCGCCTGCAGGCGCAAAGGCTGCCAAGTTGTCGGCGCCAGCAGCTGCCAAGGCGCCGCCAGCTCCCAAGGCGCCAGCAGCTCCCAAGGCGCCAGCAGCTCCCACGGCGCCAGCAGAGGAGGAGGCGCCTGCAGAGGAGGAGGAGGAGGCGCCAGCAGAGGAGGTGGTTAGGATGCCGCCGTTTCGCGTGGACCCGTGGGACTAGGGCGCCAGAGCAGTGGTAGTGGAAGCGCGTGATATCGCTCGCGCCCATGTCAAAAAAATAGGGGGGGGGGGGGGGGCGGGGGGCTTGTTGGAGGGGGTGACCCGCGCAGTGAGGTCGTCTCTCAGTGGGGGCGTGGTGCAATCAATGACTTGGAGAGCGAAATTTTAGAATCACTCTTGGAATCGTTGAATTGTTAAATCAGGTCCCCCGAAATCCTGGACTCGCGGAATCATATTGAATCAAATCTTCGCCGCTGAAATTTAGGATCAAGAATTCCCCTGGCGGTCAGGGGCGCCACGCGGGGGCGCGGGGCGCGCCAGCCAGAGGGCCGGGCTCGTGGCGAGCGCAGAGGGAACGCAGCAGCCTAGCGGGCCTAGCGGGGCCCAGATCGAAGAGATGTGCCAGGCAGGAGCTGGCGGAACCATGGCGGACGAGAACCAGAGCAGCGACGGCAGCAGCACGCAGCCAGGATGCCAGCAGCCCGCTCGCCAGGGGGAGGCACCTGCAGAGGGGCCACCAGCAAAGGGCGGGAAGGGGTTCCCGCCAGCAGGCGATGGGGAGGTGCACGCTCCAACAGAGGATTTTCGAGGCGAGGAGGAGGAGGAGAATGAGGAGGAGGAGGAGGGGGAGCCAGCAGACTAGGAGAAGCCAGCAGAGGGCGCCCAGCAGGAGGGCGCTGCGCCAAAGAACGAGGGCGCCCGCCGTGCCGCGAAGGTCGAACTGCAGGGCTCGCAGACGCTTCCATACAGTCAGGACCCGCATGGCTACTGGGGGAGATGGGGTGAGCGGGAGGAGAGATGGGAAACGCGAGAGGAGGGGGGGAATGAGGAGGAGGACGAGGAGGAGGGGGGGGAGGGGGCGGGGGGGGAGGAGGGGGAGGAGGAGGAGGGGGGGAAGGAGGAGGAGGTGGAGGAGGAGGAACAGGGGGAAGAGGATAAGAACGGGAGAGGAGGATTTAGGGGGAGGAGGGGGGAGGGGCGCCCCGACCCCCACAGGATGTGCGCCCGCGCAAGAGCCGCGCTGGGCGCAAGAAAGAGCTTGAGGAGACACTGCGGCGGCTCGGGCAGGAAGAGTCGGAATTGTCGGAGTGCCGCGATGAGTGCCTGAAGGAAGAGGCCGGGCAGGGGACGGGAAGAATGTGGAGGGAGATGTCGTCGATGTTATATTTGTTCTGGGCCCCATGGGGCCCTCGTTCCAAACGTCATCGATGACGCTTGCAACGGTGCCCTTTTGTTCCTCAAAAGTCAAGCCAGCAAAATGACGACGCAATCTAGCCGCGTTCCCAGGGTGCGCCCGACAGCGGCTTCGAGCATCGCCTCGACGCGGCATCGGTCGAGGCGGAGCTTTCAGACGCGCCTATGGAGCAGCCGAGTCCAGCAGCGGCCGTCGAATCTGATGAAGATGAAGGTTTTCGCTCTGATGATGAGAAGCTGATGGAAGTCGCTGAGCAGTCGAGGCGCGAGGCAGAAGAACAGAAAGCACGCAGAGAGGGGAGCCAGCGGAAGGAGGAAGAGGACGCTCGCAAGGCTATCGAAAATTCGAAACGTCAAACGAAGGGCAGGCCTGACAGCCCTGGACACCCCGAGGCTGCTGCATCCGCCGATCCTTCGGGTAGCAAGGCGGCGAAAGAGATGCAGGAGAGATCGAGCCGCAGGGGCCGCAGGAGCCGCTCCGAGGACCTCATCGCCGCGCCTCCCAAGAAGCGAGCGTGCAGCCAGGATAGAAGCAGGAGGAGGGCGAGGCAGAACGATGAGGGCAGAGCGGGGGGGAGGAGGCGGCGGGCCGAGGAGGCCAACCCCGACGAGGCTGAGGGGTCGAGGGGCAGGAGCCGTCGGCGCAGGCGGTCGCCCTCGTCGAGTTCGCTTGACAAGAAGGGTGGCGCCCGCCAGGGGAAGACGCGCCAGTGGGGGGATGCGCGGCGTCAGGCCCGTCTGACCTCTCATACATCCCATCCCGCATGCCACCTCCATTTCGGGAGAGCGCATAGCAATGCAACATCCAACAGGCTGGCTCGGAGAGCTTCTCGACCCCCGAGAAGATCGACGTCGTGAAGTCGATCTGCAAAGAGTCCGAGAAGTGCGCTGCGTTGGTTGATGACCGCTGATCTCTCTGCTTCATTGCGTGAGATTGTTAGCGTGAAGGGTAGGTGGTTTAAACCGAGGGTATATAGATATACTTGAACTGTGCGTTTGGATCGGGTTCCGCACGGTGGCGATCAGAACATGTTGGATGTAGGGGGCAGGGTTCCAGTGGATCGCGTTGCATCGTGCGCAACCTGCTTGGATGAAAAGGTCTCGGTCTGAAGATGCTTCATCTAACCTGTGCCATCCTTCCTTAGCATCGCCCACTGCATTCGCCTCATATGCAGGATATGTTGCGCCAAAAGGACACCGACTTCAACGAGCTGAGTGTGATTGGCGCGATCGGTGACTTCTTCAAATCTGAGACAGTGGCGCAGCTCTTGACCATGAAGGGTTTCGGCCGTTCCAGCCTGAACAACGAAAAGGCATTCCAGAGCGATGGGGCGCCTGCAGATGCGGGCGGCGAGGGCAACTTTGAGCCAATTCCGTTTGAGCAACTGTCCAAGAAGGACCAGCTGGAACAGGAGTTCTGGAAGAAGATGGCGGCGCAGGATTACACATTCCCTGCGTGCGCCAGGGGGCCAACGCCATCGCGAGCCGCTTCCAGGGAGAACTGAACAAGAAGGGTAAGACGTACACCGAGTACCAAGCATTTAAGGGAGATGACCTGGGCGCTGCTAATTACCGCCAGCAGTGGGCCAAACTGGAGGCGGGCAATTTCCAGAGAACCAAATGCCACCGCAAGTGCCTGACCAAGACCAGGTACACTCATGGGGTGTACGCTCCAATCGGGAGGATTGCCCACAAGGAGGGTGGCGGCGAAGCAGTCTGGCTTCAGGCCTGCGCATGCGTGCTGAAACACAGTCGTTCCTCCTCCTCCTCCTCCTCGCGCGCCCCCCCGCTGCACGTCCTTCCTCGTCGTCGTTGTCGCCCTGCTCCAACTCATTCCTTGTCGTCCTCCAACTTCGTTCGTCTTCCTTCTCGTCTTCCCTCTTGTCCTCCTGCCAATCGGTCGCTCTACTTGTTGTCCTTCTCCGCCCCCCCCCCTCCCCCCCGCTGCAACGAGGCATCAAAATACATGATCAAGGCGATCCAGCGGGGGCCACCATGGGTGGCATGCGACGACGCGACGGACGCAATCTGCATCGTTGCCACGCGAGTTCTTGCTTACCGCGCTCTCGTTTACCCCCTTCCTCACTCGCGCTCCTCACTCACCTTCTCGACCTCCTCGCCCACCTCCTCGACCCCCTCTCCTCCTCTTCGACCCCCTCCTCTTCGACCCTCTTCCTTTCTCGCTCGCCCCTCTCCTCGACCTTGTCCTTCAACGTTCTTCTAGACCGCTCTGCCCCCCAGGAGGCCTTAAGAGCGCTCTACATCACAAATGGCTCCAAGGACACGTTCTCGGAGGAATGGTCGGGACATCTCGAGTGGGCCCAGGATCCGGCTTCCAAGGGGACGTGCGCGAGCAAGGCATCTGTGGGCCCAACCGCACCTCCACCCAACACTGGAACGCTGAACTGATGCGATTTTAGCAATGTTTTTGCGATGTCATCGCGATGACACCTGCATCAATCTAGAGATTTGGTCTAGATCGCTAGGGCCCCAGGGGGGTGAGCCAGTCAGGGCAATATGAGATACTTGCCAGAGGGGCGCGTGTCGACAGGCAGCTCACGCGGCGAGAGAGCTGGGAATCGACGTCAACCTCCACGAGGACCGCCCCTTTGAAATCGATCCTCGGGCCTGTCCCTCCTTCTCGTCCTCCTTCTCCTCCTCCTACACGCCCTCCTTTCCCTCCAATTCCTCCTCCTCCTCTTCCCTTTCCTTGTCTTGCCCATCCTAGCCCTTCTTTCCCACGCGCTTCAGCACTCGCCATTCCGCCCTCCACTTGCCAGTGGAGGGTGGGCGGGCGGGAGAGGGCCTTGGCGCGCTGAGGAGTCCAGCGGGTCGGCTGGGTCAGCTGCGCAGTCAGCAGCAGCGGCGCAGGGCCGGCCGCCGCCCAGGCGCAGGCTCAAGGGCAAGACTTCAGATGAGGCCGCGGGAGGAGAACAGGAGGCTGAGGATAAGAAAGCATCGAGGTTCGCTGATGATGAGGCGGCAAAGAAGAGCGTTGCTGAGGAGAAGCTGAGGAAAGCTAAGGACACAGGCAAGAAGAAAGCCCACTTGGAGGATGAGGAGGGGGCCCAGAAGCAAGACGCGCAGGCTAATAAGGCTATCTCCCTCCTCCCTCCTTCTTCCCTCTTCCCTCTTCCATTCCCCCTTCTGCCTCCAGTGGTGGCGTTATCCTGGGCGCGGCTGGGCCCACCTCGGAATCAAATTCAGTGCGCAATTCAGGATATGTCGAAACAGCACCGTCGCAAGGCAGCAGGCACTCGCGAGGAGACTGGCACTCGCAAGGAGACTGGCACTGGCAGGGAGACTGGCGCTGAGATTGGCACTGCTGGCAGGGGGGCTGGCACTCGCAGGGGGACTGGCACTGGCAAGGGGACCGGCAAAGAGACTGGGACTGGCAATGAGGAGACTGGCAAGAAAGCTGAGAAAACGGGGATAGACTTGCTTATCCAGAACTCGCGCAAGAGATTGAACAAGTATTCTTCTGTGAATTCCACGGCGTCGTCTCTCATGGCATCAGCGGGGAAAGACCCCACATGGATTTGGATGAATGCGGATGCTGACGGGAAAGCCTTGCTGGATACGGGGAATGATATGCGCCGGCAGGTCGAGGGCTCCGCTGGGGTCGGGGGGTCCTTCTCTTAATCCTCCTCCTGCTCCTCCATTCTCTCCCCTCAATATGCGCTTCGCACTAGGACAAGCTTGTGAACCGTGTGATTTTCGAGGATTTGAGCAAAGTGCGGAAATCAATGGGGGTGGGTGGGGGGGCGTGGTTTTCACCTCTGCCCTCCGCGAGCTCTCGAAGATGGACGAAACCCTGGATCTGGCCGCGAAGCAGGCAGCGAAGTGCGCGGCGATCGCTGCCATCAAGAATGCAGGCGAGGACAGCGACGAGGCTGCCCCCAGGGCGTCCAAGAAGGGCAAGAAGAAGCAGCCGCAGAGCTGATTGGTGATCTGGGGGAGCCGCGATCAGGTCCAGGCATAATTTACTGCTCAGGCAGCCTAGATCTCGCACTCGGGACCAGATTCTGAAAATTCCAAGGGGAAGCCCCCTCAGCCAGGACCCTGGGACCATCTGTACAGAAAAAACAGGAATCGGTCGAAAAAGGTATGTCATCGCGACGCACACGCACCGATGACATTCCGATGACACCCTGTCACCGATGACAGCCGATGACACGTGTTTTCACAGGTGAACGACCGATGACACCTGTCACCGATGACACCCCTTCACCGATGACACACCGATGACATCGATCGAGACGCATCCGGCGCAAGATTCTTCGAAAAAACAAATGGAAATCATCCTTCCAGCGGTCTCAGAGATAGGCTTGCCATGGGATTTCGAGCAGTGCGTCTCAAGAACCGCCCTGGCCATCAACTTGTTCATGATGGGATGCGGTCTGCCATCCAATTTGCCCCCCCTTCCCTCCCCGCCACTCGCTCACGGGAAACGGCCCAGGGTCTCAGCTTTCAGATCAATGTTGTGGTGCATCAGATGATCTTGGGGTGGTTCTAAAGTCTCCCCCCCTACCCAACCCCCTTCCTGGGCATGCGTAGTCTGGATCTCGGGCTTCGCGCAGACTCACTCGCGGTCGTTCGCGTCGAGCTTGCGAGTGGAGCCCGGCGGAACGTTGCAGATTTTAGATTTATACACAAACATGTGCGCCGACCTGTTGTTCGAAGAAAGAGCGTGTGTCTGACTCACACATGTGTCCCTGCAATCCAGGTGCACGCGAAGATGCGCCGTTCCTCCTCCTCGGATTATGCTCCCTGTGTCCCTTTTTCTAACTATATCTCCCTCTCACTTGTTCGCTCTCTCGCTCCCCTCGTCTCTCTTTTCGCTCTCGCTCTCAGTCCCCATCGCTCGACCTCAGTAGTTTCCCGTTGCCCTCCCCCGCTCAACCCTTCGTGTGCGCGACCCCTGAAACGTGGCGCGGCGCTGGAAACGACGTAGGTTTGACGATTTTTTTTTTTTTTTTTTTTTTTGCAATCTTGGGGCCATATCTTTCACCGATCCGCTTGTGATGTACATCGCTATGACAACATCACCGCGCTCATTCATCATCTTCAACACCTCACATATTATCATTCACGCTACCCCTGTTTTGGGTGATCTGCCAAACGTTTGGGTCGTCCTCCGTTCCGCGCCGAGGTCCTCCCTTCCCCGCCGCAGCTGGTGAGGTTCCAGGTCGGGGCACAGGGCGCCGCCGCGGCGCCGAGGGGGAGGTGGGGCCATGGCGCCGAAGAGGAGGCGAGGCCAGGGGCCCAGGAGGCCAGGGGGCGGGAGGAGGCAACTGAGCAGCCAGGAGGAGCGAAACGCTGGCAACAACCTGTTGAGGCTGCTTCTTCGACTCTACAGCTCGGCCGAGCGTTCGGCGATTGAGTTCTGCCAGGCTTGCCACTGGGCTAGCGAGGCAGGAACCCCAGGAGCGGGCTTCGATGTGCATGCCCTGCCACTGGGCCACCAGTCAGGGAAATACCAGGCGCACCTGGACAAAGTCATCCCGCAACCTGAGCATTTGACGACGGTTGCCACGCCATGTAATCTCAATCGACGGGCTGCGCGGACCATCCGACATGTCCCTGTGCCCTGCATCTGGGAGAGCATCGAGGACGGATTGGCAACTACTCCTGCCATGCGTGCAATGCTGGACACTCCATTGGATGAGATAGAGGAGGGGACTGGGATGAGCCTACCTGTGTACGCGCGCCACCCTGCAACTGTCAGAGCTCAGGAGGAAGGACTACCCAGGCCGCTCCCGCTCACATTCTACCTGGATGGAGTGCAGTTCAGATCGCCCGCAGCGGGCAGGACTGACTCGGTGCTGGGATTATGGTGCACCAACCTACTATCCAGACAGCGCCACCTGATCAGCAACCTACGAGGGTCCGACAGTTGTGGTTGCGGCTGCAAGGGCTGGTGCAGTATGTACCCGCACCTCTTGGCCTCGCAGTGGATGTTCGCGGCAATGCAAGATGGGAATAGGCCTCAGGAGAAGCATGACGGTTCCGAGTGGTGCCAACTTTGCCCGATCGGCCAGAAAGCGCGCGCCTCTGCTAGACTATCGTTCACTGCTGCGCTGATCTACATCAAGGGGGATTGGTCCGAGCATGCGAAATCATTGGGGCTGTCTCCGTGGAGCATCTCGTGGTCGCCGTGCCAATTTTGCACTCTGTCCAAGCATGAGCTCCACTCGCTCTACCATCAGTTGCCCTATGGCATCGACTGGCAGCTCAAGAACACCGAGAGCTACGAGGAGGCATGCGCTCGGTGCGAGATCCAAGTCACGCTGCGCACTGAGGACGACAGGAAAGCCTTGGTCCAAGCATTGCGGTTTCGCAAGCCAGGCAAAAACGGTCCGATTGGGGGCCGCCTTGTCGTGACCGGCTTTGTTCTCGACAACGTGCCGCTGCGCGCGGGTGACAGACTAGAGCCGTCCCCGTGTTTGTTGGACACGCACAAGCTCGAACATAGGAACTACACGCACCTGCCCGTGACTATCACGTTGTGGCGTACACGACGCGTCGGAAATGAAGGTGTAGACAGTATGTCACATCGGTGCCCAATGTTCGACATAATCATCGGCACGTCACCTCGCGACAGTCCGGCAGTAGATGAATTACCCTGCTTGTATTTCGGACCGATCATGCGGTACGTGTCAGCATCCATGTGGCGCATAGTCCTGTCCAACAGATGGGGCTTCATCGGGGGCGTCGACCAACTGTCCGACATGGGCGCACGCCAGGTGTCAGCTGAACTTTGCAGGTGGCAGGAGGCCAACAACGTGCCCATGGACCAGCGGCTGAGCGGCATCACGCCCAAGATGCTCGGCAAGCGCAAAGGCCACGCGGAGCAGGCCTCACGGATAAAATGAACTACTGCCATTAGATGAAAGTAGTGCATTTGCAAACTCATCAAACAATGCCCAGGCATCCCATCCCCATCAAATATCACAATGGTTTTCTACAAACGCCAACCCTGTGTCCCCACCCTGCCTCCTCCCCATCTCCCGCCCTCCCTTCCCTCACCTGCTCTGGGCCCCCTCTCAGGCTACCCTCGCAATCGTTTGCGCGTCCCCCCCCCCCCCTATCTTCCAGGAATCGCGCGGCAAATGGCGATCCGTCAGCTTAGGATCGGCCGCCCTTTGTTTACCTTGATGTTTTTTTGTGCACCTGGGGACCTGGTGGAAAACCCTGGGGCCGCAAGCCGCCTGCGGCCGTCAGCTGGTGTAAGCGTGAGCTTCCGTCACCACAGGGCCCTTTGCACCCTGGCGGGAACGTGGGTTTGAAGGCGGCAGAGTGCGGGCTGATGTTGCCTTTCACCATCCATGCTATCGACAAGTGGGGGACGGCTCGCATATGTCATCATGTCCTTCAGCAGGCGGGGGTATCGCTTCTACGATTGCTCAACATCAGTAGGGGGCATCGGATCTCGATTCCAGAAGAGGAACGAGCTATGCTCATAACAGAGTTTGATATGCACTTGAGGTGTTGTTCTGCCAGCTTCATTTCCATGGCGCCGAAACACCACTTGACTGCGCGCATGATTCTCAGGTGAGCATTTTCGGGATCTGAAATGTCTGGGGCCCTTGGGGTGCTGAACTCCCGCCTGTCTCTGTCCAGCCGTCGGGCCCCCTGACCGCCGCCCCCCCCTCCGCCCCCCCTTGCTGGCGCCAGGGGCCCTAGCGGGCGTAGAGGCTTGAAACCCAGCAGGGATCGCGGCAACAGCTGCAACACATCAGATGTCACGGCGGGGGTGAAAGAACAAACATGCGATGAGGGGAGCGGCGCAAGAGGGAGAACGAGGGGGAGGGGCATGAGGATGGGGGGCGAGGGCGACAATGATGACAAGGGCGACAGGCAAACATATGACGATGGCGAGGCGGAGGAAGATGATGAGCAGGAGGGGGAGGGGGAGTTTTTGGGAAACCACCCAGGGTAGACGAACACGGATCACCGCGGGCATACACTTGCTTTCTAGATGAGGGTCTGAACGGCGTTCTCAGGGGCCTGGCGCAGTTCGCACACGGGACGAAGTTCGAAGTGCGTGTTTTCATTTTGTGGGACATCCAGTCGTCCTTAGGGGTTACTCTTCACATAGCACCTGGGCTCGTGGACAGCATAGCCCTCTTTGCTGGTTTCTCCCAATAGTGGTGCTCCGGGCAATGCTGGTCGCCATCTTTGCGATTGTGGCCGCGCAAGGATGCTGCGCGCCCGTGCACGTAGTGGGCGTGGAGTGGGCGCGCTTGACTGCTGTGGAACTCGCGGGGAAGCACGGCGACATCTCTGTGGGTCAGCCGCAGTTTCTGATGGAGGCTTGCGTTCGTGAGTTCGAGAGACGTTCATTCATTCCGAGAGACGTTGCGTTTGTAGAGATGTTTGTTGGCCGCGGTCTGACAGCCACCCACGTCGTGGAGATGGGCGCGAGAGCGCATGCGTTCGAGCTCTCGGACGGAGTCGAGCAAGATGGCTGCTCGACAGCACGGGGCAGGTAAAACATGCATCGTTGCAGGCGGCATCGCAGGCGTCTTCGCAGGCGTCGTCGCAGATGACGCCTGCGATGACGCTACCAACGCTGTGTGTTTCCCCGAAAAAAACCATGATGGCATTCTCTATATGCGCTATATCTTCTCGGGACGGTGTTTGCATCTGGCTTGGTGCACTTCCCCCCTCCATGTTCATCTTTCCTCGGCATCGCTCGCGGCCGCGCGCGGCGCTCGAGAACCGATTCCTTGGGTGCAAACGGCGGGGCCGACGTCAGGACGGCCAACTTTCTCGGTGCACTCGCGTCCCTCGCTGCCATTGCTAATTAACCCCCCACTCCCAGCACGAGGGAGAAGGGCGAGGGGGAGGCAGGGCAGGGATGGGGACAAGGCGTGCGGGACGAGGAGGAGGAAGAGAACGAGAAGGAGGGCGAGGAGGAAGCAAGAGAACAATGGGAAATATGGGGAGGAGGATGAAGGGGGGGGGGAGGGGGAGGGTTGACACGTAAGGGGCTGGTGGGATGATGGACGCACGCATGGAGAAGGGACGAGGGGGGGAACGGGAAGAGGAGGCGCAGCCAGTGGAAGGCAGAGGATGGGCTTTGATTAAACAACACATCAGCCAGGTCGTACATGGTAAATGTGGCGCCCATGCGCAACCTCCGCATCGTTTGCGAGCAGCCTTTGGCTTCAGATTTATATGACCTGCCGTGCTTCAAGGCGGCCATCGCAGTATCCACTCTCAGGAGGTGCGCGACGTGGATGGGGGGCTTGGGAGGCTCCACGATGAAGCCCGACGAGATGTTTTCAAACTTAGAGGGCGCTGAATTTGCTTCTATGCAGAAAACCTACAAGGGCGCCAGGGCCCGCATTGGGAAACCCAAATCTAAGTCGACCCTGGCGTTCCAGACCAAGAGGCATACACCATCAAAACGCACTGGTTGGAAGAGTGGCACCTGGGTCGCGGGGCGGAAGAAACACATGAAGCGTTCGGCACATTACCCCGTTGCGTTCACCAGGGCGTACGCGGTGCTCGTGGTCAAAGGCCTCTCTGAGAAACCTAGGAGCGCAGCCTTCGTCGCAGGGCGCCACAACGCGCAGCTCGTTTAGGCTAGCTCGAGCAAAGGCCACTGAGCGGGGGGGCGAGAAGCGATGCAAGGGGTGTGGCAATCGATTTGGCGCAGGGGGTTCTGGCCTGTCACGTTTTCGCTGCAATTCAGGCAGCGACGCGTTGCGAGGTCGCCACCCTGCACGCGGCACTGCGCGCGCTCCGAATGGAGAAAAACAAGCAAATAAGATTGACCCCGTGGGGGAGGGGAGTTGACTCCACGCGGGGGGTGAAGGAGGGGGCGGTGGAGGAGGGGGAGGAGGAAGAGGAGGAGGAGGAGGAGGGGGAAGACGATGCGAATAGGGATCGGTAACGACGGCAAGACCCACGATGACAGCGATGACGCTCAGGAGAATGAGGAGGAGGAGGAGGAAGAGGAATGCGAGGGTGGACCGCAAAGAAGTAAGAACGACCCAATCCCGCCTCGTACTCCACCACGCCCTTGCTGCCCTCAGCCGAGCCAGGCCAAGTCCCACCCCCTAACCCATTAGGGGTGTCCTGCGGGTCAGCGCGGCTCTCGGCGATGTGCATGAACCAGCTGTGAAGGCAGTTGGCCGACGAGGTCCCCAGGGGCCACAACTCAACATCAACCCATGCGTGATTTCCTCCTTTTTCAAGCTCGTATCCGTTTCCTCCACTCCTCCCAGCCCTGTGCTTCCGTCGCTGAAGGTGGGCGGCGCTGCGGCTTCAGGCGGAGGCTCGCGAATGCTGTCCAGATGGAGCAAGAAGAAGAGACGCGCAGAGGAGGGTGAGATCGAGGAAGGTGACATTGAGGAGGTGCCCCGCGAGGAGCAGATCACGCGCAGAGTGGACAGAAGAGGTGATGACCCAATGCCACGGGGTGTCACGCCGCTGGAGGTTTCGCAAGATGCCCTACAGCAAGCGACGAAGCTCATCGCAGAGGCGTTCACCCGCAACCCCGTCGTCCGTCCACGAGCTGAGCAACACGGGGAAGCTGAGGATCCCGAGGAGGACGGGGTGAAAGTGGAAGCGATGAAGTTGACGGTGTACATGAATCGGAAGAAAGAAGAGCGGGGCGATAAAAAAGTGGAGATCTATTCGAAAGGTCAAGAGGGCGCTGAGGGCTCGGAGGATCGAGGAGACAGAGGCAAAGGGCGAGGCGGCCAGGATAAAGGACAAGAGGGCATCGAACGAGAAGACTTCACCTGTACCTCTATAGTTGGGAGATGGCTTGGGGCGCGCAGAAAAGGCAGATCGAGGGAGAGGAGGCAGGTCGAGGGAGAGGAGGCCGGCGAGCTGCTCGAGGGAGAGGAGGCGAGGCAGGTCGAGGGAGAGGAGGCTGGCGAGCTGCTCGAGGGAGAGGAGGCGGGCGAGCTGCTCCGAGGATCTGCACCTCCTCCTTCTCTTCAGTGTTCGCCCCCCTTTCTCCTGCAGTTCCTCCTCATTCCTCGGCCGCGGGCCTCTTCCCCCCCCCCCCTCATTTCCCATCTCGCAGGAGGGCTTTGAATGGGGGGCGTCCTCGTTCAGAAAAGAGGTCGCGCGTGATCTCGAGGCAAGGATGCGGGATGGCGACGAGAAAGCAAGGCAGCGCAGGAAGGAACTCTTGGCGGCAGAACTCGTGAGACACATTCCCGATCTAGAGAAGTCTTCAGCAGACCAACTGCATTTCATGGCTGATGTGCTCACAGACGCTGCCAGATCAGTGTACCGCAAGGCGCGTCGTGCAGAGCGTGCTGAGCGCGCAGAGAGGGCTGAGCGTGCAGTGAAGGCTGAGCGCGCAGAGGGATCCACGATAGAAGACAGCGCCAAGCGAGACGAGGCAAAGCAGAGGAGAAAGACAAGGGAGGAGGATGGGCTGCGCGTGCCGAGGACGCCGTCGAGACGACCTCGGCGGAGGAAATCGCGGGAGCCCGCGAGGCCCGCGAGGGAGTAGACCGCGCAGGTCGATGAGGAGGCGGCGAAGGAGGCGGCGGAGGAGGCGGCGGAGAGGAAGAGCAAAAAGCAGAGGAAGAGGAGGTGGCAGTGAGCTGCCGCCTGAGCGGCTGAGTGGGGCTGGCGCCTGCTGGCCGACCACTGCCGCTGCTGCGGCATGGGGGGAAACGATGCGCTTGCCTGCTCCCCCACCTCCTTCTCTTCCTCCTGCCGCGCTGTTGCTGATGCCGCTCCCCCGCCGCCTCCTCCTCAACTGAGCGAAACCACGCGTTCTCTCGGCGCATCGTGAGCGGCAGGTGTACCTAGAGCATCCAGCTCCCGTCGGTCGAGGTGTCGTCGTCGTCCTCTTCCGCCTCCTCCCTGTGCTTAGCCCCAGGGTCAGGTTGTTGAGTCGGCAGGCTCAGGCCCAGGCCAGCGAGCCTGCCCGCAGCAGTGATACTCCGTTCGGGTTTGCCTCCCACCGAATTCCAAGGGAGGTAGCGCGGAGGAGCAGCACGGGATGAGGAGGAACATGATGACAAGTACAAGAAGGATGGCACGGAGAAGCGAATAATGAGGGGGAAGGGGGACGAAGAGAAGGAGGAGGCGGAGGGGGAGTGGGAGGAGGAGGAGGAGGAGGAGGAGGGGGATGAGGAGAAGGTGCGCGTCATCGCAGATGTCACTTCAGATGACATCTGCGATGGCGAATGGCCACTCCCTTCCCCTGCGCCAGCTCCAGCATCCGTCGAATCACAGCGGCCGCCGAATTCTCTCCCCCAATTAAGCGGCTTTCCCCGCGATGCCAGCCCTCGATGGTTTGTGCCGCCTCTTCGTTTGCAGGGGCGCGATCGCGAGCCTGGTCCACATCTGGCCTTCCCGAACGCAAAATAAACGCACCCCTTTCACGTGTTAAGCCCCCCCCCCCCCCCCTCCCCCCTTCATTTGTTAAGTGCCCGTCCCAGGGGCATCAAAACGGAATGGGCTCTCACGAAACCCATCTCCTGCCTGGCATCTGCCAATGCGCCGCGAACGCCCCCCTCGCACTTTCGCCGATCATTCGTGGAAAGCTCGAGTTCAGTGCAAGGGTTTCACGGGCTGAACCGCCAGACATGGCGAAAACCACTAGCCGAACCAGCTGACATCATATCAGAACTCGCCCTCCCCCCCCCCCCCCTTGCCCACTTCAGGCGGCGCTCAGAACCTGCGGGGGGAAGGGCATGGCGCACGGGAGGGACATGGGCTTGCTGAAATTCCTCCGCCTCCTTCTTCCGCTGACCTCAATCTTCTCATCCTCGTCCGCATCCTCATTCTCAGCTACCTCGCCACCCTGCCAGAACGTCAGCCGCGATGAGTGCGAAGGGGAAACGAGGGGAGGAGGAGGAGGGAGGAGGAAGAGGAGGAGGAGGAGGAGGAGGAATATATGGATGACGAGGAGGAGGAGCAAGAGGAGGATATAGCGGAGGGGAGGAGGAGGAGTAGGGGGAAGAACAGGATGAGGAGGAGGAGGGAGGTGTAGGACGAGGAAGAGGAGGTGGAGGAGGACGAGGAGGATGAGGAGGAGGAGCGCCTGAGGGAGCTTGAGGGGGCGCCTGAGGGGGCGCCCGAGGGGGCGCCTGGCGGAGCGCCTGAGGGAGCGCCTGTTCGATGGGGGCGCCTGAGGGAACGTGCGCAGCTGCCTGGCGTAGGTCGACGACGGACTGAGCGATGACGACTAATCGGCGATGGAACAAATTCGAGACATCGACTGCGACCGCGCGACGACAGGGGCGATCGCGGACGTCGAAGCGACAGCAATGATGACGACGAGGACGGCGAACATAGAGTCGAGCACAGGACTTCAACGCTGTCGATTGACAGCAGCGTCGACGGCCTGACGACGGGCGTGCTGCGCGCCAGGTTTGAAGACAATTCAGGTGCGCTCTAGCAGAAAGCAGAGCTCCCGAGGGTACAGAGGAGACGGCGCGAGGGCGACGAAAGTAACACATGGCGCGATGATGATAGCGCACCTCGGCCAACCCATGGGGCCACCATGCGATGAAATTTGGGGCGCACAGGAAAAGGAAACGTTTCGCTTGAGACACCCCCTGGCTACCTGATTAATAGTTGCGCATACGTACTCGCCCGTGTCCGCAGCATTATACTCGCGAACGTCGCGTCCCCGACTGTGTTTAGGACATGTGTACAGTAGTGTGGTGATATTTGGTTCTTTCGGTACGAAATACAACCGTCGCGAGCTCGACCGCGCGCTGAGCAAGGTCACGCGGCGGACGTGCAGCGCTGGTATCTGTTTGAAACACCGCTGGCCCAATCAATCAATATATATATATATATGTGTATACATGTATATATATATGTCTGTATATATATGTATATATATATATATATGCGTTGATGATCGGCCTCCTCCGCTTCATCGTCGTGTGTTGGTGGTTGTTCGTGTGCCGTTGCGCGTTTCATGGCTGCACGTGTGCGTCTTTAGCATACATACAAATATATTGACTATTATGAAATAGTTCCTGAATAGTAGCTATATGTAAGAACTATATAACAGCCCCTGTGGACCACTGGGATGGCGGCCGCTTTCCCGGGGACCAGCGGAGCAACAATCGGGGCGCAGACCGTCAGAATTTCCCCAGCAACCCTTCCAGGGGCCCCAGCCACCCAAGCGCGGGGGGCCCGCGAGAGCACCAGGAGCACCTGGGCGCCTTGGCGCGCGAAGCGATCTGGCAGGCACCCAGGAGCGCCGTGCACCTCGAGATCCTCGAGGTCACGGCGAGGGGCCGCCACGGCGCGCAGATCCGCAGTGCTCAGACCCGAGCCACGAGGGCCGACTCCTGGCTCCCCGGCCACAGTACTCTCAGACTCTTACTCGGCTACGGTTGGATCGGCAGTAGTGCAACTCCTCGCGAGACTTCGGGCCCTACCCTCAGGCCCAAACGGAGCACCACTCCCTGCAAACACTCGAGCAGCACCACCTGCTCCGACGGAAGACTGGCTGCGAGACAACGCCGGAGCCACGTGCAGGGGCGCCCCCGACGCCAATCGGCGCAGGGAGGAGCAACAGGGCGGCCTGCGGAACTACGAAACCACAATGCATCCCGGGGGGTGCCTGGTCGCAGCCTTGGCTGCGGGCGGGGTCATCGAAGTCGTCGCGAGCGGGGAATCGGGGTTCCTCTTAGCCAGCGCGCCCGCGTGGGTCACGATCTTGCCCCCTGCGGACTCGACATGTGGGCAGCCGGCGGGGGGGCTGACAGGCCACAGACGCGTGCGAAGCTGCAATTCGCCGCAGGGGCAGTGCGCGCCGCGCGCCTGGGCACGGCCTCAGCAGCAGCCCCCCCCCGCCGCGGCAGGGCTACACACGAGCCCGCCAGCGCAAAAAACAGGATTCCACGACGCACTGCGGCGGCCCTGAACTCGCAGCCAGGGCCAGCCAGACCCGCGCGGCTTCCCGACCTCGCCGAAGTCCTGGTGAGAACTTGCCGCGCCCCACAGAGGCAAGACTCCCTTCTGGTTAGAGCGGGCCACGACGCGTCGCGGGTAGCGAAAGGGATGACGGGCATGTTCTTGGCCTGCGTGCCAGAACAGATGGCGCGCGACTTCGCAAGAGGAGTGCAAGCCAGGATAACCCTAGAGCTCCGCAGGCAGCTCGACGGGCGGCCGCTGCAAAGGTACAACTGGGACATGTTCGCTGCCACATGGATCTGGCAGCTCGTCAACCCGAGGCAGGTCGACCGGGGCCATCTCTGTCAGCTGTTACGAGAGATGGGCATCAGGGAGGAAGCCACGAGACGGCTTCCTTTCACCCAATGGCTCGCCCCAGAGCCAGACCCGACCTAGACAGCCCACCAGGCCTGGTTGGACGCCCCTGGCTACAGGGGTGCAGACATTGACGCATCCACAAGTCGCACCATGGAAGACGGCACCCCGGGCAGGTTAGAGCAGCTGTCCACGACTAGGCAACCTTCACTGGGACGACAGACAGAGGCAAGACCCTGGGCGGGCTTCCGAGGCGCAGGAGAGGCAGGAACCAGCGGGGGGCCAGGGCCGCGCAGCCGACCGCCCCAGAGACCAGCGGCAATAGGAGCAGGAGCCGTAGAAACGCGCCCCCGCTTGCCACGGCGGTCAGCGCGGCGCGGGCCGCTACTGGCGGTGCCGCGCGCACCGCCGCAGACAGCGCAGCCGCTGCCCCCGCGGCTGGCGCAAGGAGCACCCGGGCCGCTGCCCCCGCAGCCAGGTGCCACGGCGAAGACGGCGCGCGGCCAGCAGAAAGCAACGCTCCACCAGCCGCGGTTGAGATTGCCGCGGACCCCGCCAACGGACGCGGCGACCAGCGGAACACCCGACCCCGCCGGCAGCCGATTGCGCGATCCCCGGACAAGCGACCCCCCCCGGAGGCACCCGACAGGCACCTGATCAACCTGGCCCCGCAGACAGCCAGCAAGAGGCCCCGCCAGGGCCAGCCAACCAGGCGAGGGGCGAGACGGGCGCCCCGCCGGGTGCCACAGGTCCCCCGCCAACGCCCACGGCGCGACCCGCGCCGGACACCGTGCGGAGAACTAAATTCGACCCTCTGGGGCGAGGCGACACACCCAGAGGTGGCGACAGCCTACCACCCTGCATGGAGGCCGACTGGACGCGCGCTCTGAACGCCCTGACACCTCCCTGCGTGCGGCGACACGTACCGGACAAGGGAGCGCGAGCGCCCTTCCCGCTGACTTATGGAACGACGCCCTCAGCACCATCGCCTGGGGCACCGCCCTACTGCAGCTAGAGAGACGAATGCGACGGCTCTTCGAACAGCACGGCCTCCCCAACATAATCTTGCATGCCTTCGACGCCTACTGGGGCGCTCAGCCACTCCTCGGCGCGCGCAACGCCGCCAGCAGGAGCGTGCTGTCCAGGGCGGCGGCCCTCTCCGCAGACGCTGCGCGCGCCAGGATGCAGAGCCTCGCGGACACTCAGGCAGCGACCGCGCCAGGATGATACCTCGGATGGCCAGCGAGGGGCGAGGTCCCAGGCCAACCCTTCCAGCTCCTGACCGCCAGCGCGGTCTCCGCCGTGCCCCGCCCGGGGGCAGGGCTTCATTATGTGGCCGAGCGGGGCGCGCAGCTACAAGCAGATGCGGAAGCTCCCTGGCTCAGCCTGCACGGCGCCAGCCCCGACAACAGCGCGGTTGGCGGAAGCTAGGAAGGCCCAGGCGCCACCGGCGGAAGCTCAGACAGCCCAGCGGGGGGAGGCGGAAGCGCGGGCACGCCCGCGGCTCAAGGCGAGCGCGGCCCGAGCGGACGCGCGCGAGACAGAGGCCCAGGAGCCGCGGCAGCAGGCGGCCCTGCCGGCAACGCCTCTCAAGGCGCTCACCACGCGCACAGGCAAGGGAGGAGCGCCTCCAGAGCCCCAGCACAGGCTGAGACGAGACACAGTACCCGAAGCCGTAGACGCGCCCCCAGACCAGACAGCGCGGGCCAAAGACCCGCTCGTGACAGATCCAGGAGGCCACCAGCAGCAGCGAGCGGCACCCGCTCCCTCATTGAACTACGGGAGGGTACACCCAGGCACAACAACGAACCCAGGCAAAACGCAGTCGAGCCTGGCAGGGGGGGCAACCCGACCCGCGCAAGGCCCAGCCAGCGCTGAGGACCAGGGGCAGCGCAGGTCCAGGCAGCACACATGTGCGTTGAGCCCGGACGAAGCTACTGCTGCCCCAGCACCGGCGGACGTGCTTCAGCTAGTCTGGGTACACCGTCGCGACGAGCGCACGGGGCCCTCAACGGTCGCTCACCCAGACGCCATCCTGGCAGCATACCAGATTGCGGTACTCGACAACAGCCAAGTCGTAGACGCGCTGCGAAGGCTCCACGGACAGGGAACAGTAACACTGGGCCCGTCCGAGGCGGCCTGGCAGATCTCAGGGCAACTCCGACTCGAGCAAGGCATCAGAGACGGTGAAACGGTGGACCTACGGCGCGGGTCGAAGACCCTAGGGCCACCCCCCGCGATGAAACAGTGACAAGCATCCACCTCGTCTCCCTCTTCGACGGCTGGGACTGGCAAGGCTGGCGATCGGAGACCTCCTGGCGAGAGTCTCAGCAAGTCAACGGTTCCAAAACTCGGTCTTCGTGGAGATCAATGAAGACGCCGCCAGCGCAGTAGGGCGAAGATGGTTCCAGCCAGCAGCCGCGGCATGCCCCTCGCACCGACGCTTGGAAAGGGACGTCTGGGACATGTTCCGAAGCAGCGGCACCAATACCTCTTGGGAAAGACACGTGATGCCCCTCGACCACGACAGCCTCCTTCTAATCATAGCGGGACCGCCATGCACCATGCGACCTACCATCAGCCGGCCAGATCGGAGGACTCGACGGCTTGGCGGGGCCGCAGTCGGTGAACTTCTTCGCCGTCCCGCTGGCCTTGGCGCAGGCGCGCAGGCTCAGACCTGACCTCAGGAGCGTAGTGCTTGCCGAGAACGTCGCAACGAAGTGATCGACTACGACGGCGAGGTCGGAGTCGACGAGGCCGCGCCGGCAGCTTCGCCGCCGCCGGGCGATGCAGCAGAGGGCCCCGGCGACCCGGAAAGCAGCTCGTTCCCGCCCTCGCTCGACACCGCAGGCGACGCGACAGGCGGCAGCCCCTCCAACGACCCCCCGAGGATCTTTGGCACAAACACGGCCGGCACACGCAGGCCTGAGCAGGACCATTCAGGGGCCATGGCCAGCGTCGGCTCGCCGCGCTGGGCGAGCCGCGATCCCCCGCGCAGGCAAGCAGCCCCATCCGGCGCACCTGGTAGCCGCAGTGCGCCAATAGCAGCCCCAGCGAGGCGCGACGCGACCCCCCCGTGGAGGCGCGGCAGGGCCGTGAGACGGGTCTTCGACGACCTCGTCGACCCAGTAGACGGAGGCCGTATGCACAGGGAACTGATGGGCAACGTCCAGCTCGACAGGATCGGCGAGACACCAGCGGCCAAGATCAAGCGACTCCAGAAAGTTCTGGGAGGGGTCTTCAGCGGCGTCTGGCACGCCTGCGCCCGATAGCACCCAGCGGGACTCGAAGGCAAGGCCAGAAGCGACCCCGCGAGGAATTCAGAGGCAACCTGCCGCGAATTCTTGGACGCCTAGAAGCGCTGCGGGTACGACGCCTACGAGATGGACCGGCGGCTCGACCTTCAGGGTCACTTGGGGCCAGGGGCGCGACAGAAATGGACGGGGAGCCAGGGCACAGGCGCCCTCTAGCCTATGAGCCGAGCGATAAGCTCCCAGCAGCCCGGGACTGGGACAGCTGGCCCCGGTCCCAAGCCTGGGGCGACGGCGACTCGCAGGCGGGGGGCGAGCGAGGCGGCGACCGCAGCGGCGACGGGAGGGGCGACAAGCGCTCCCGCGCATGGCGGTGACCCAGAGGTTCCCGGCAACCAATGGCCAACAGACACTCCCCGGCAGCGCTCGCTGCCCCCCCCCCCCGCGGCATCTCCCCTGCGGCGGCCTCGCGCCGCCTTCAGGGCACCCCGCCCCTCCCAGAATTGCGGCTTCGCCCGCCCGTGTTTCGCGCTAGACGCAGCCCGCCTCGCGCGCGCGTTGGTCGCTGTGGTTCTTGCAGAAAGTGCCGCCTTCAGCTGCTCCTTGGAACCCTGGCATGCCGGCCGGCTGTGGGTCTCAGTGGGCCGCGCGGCACGGGGGGGCGACGCCTCCTTGTCCAGAGGGCGAGCCCAACAACTGACAGAGGTCCCGCGGGGGTCTTTCACTGCGGCGACGGGGGAGACGACGCGCGCTCCCGCGCTTGGTGAGGGCCCCTCTGTAATTGGCGCACCAGCGGCCGTTGGCCACTCCCTGGTTGCGCTTTCTGCCCAGCTCCCGCCGCCCCCCGCCCTTGGGATTCTGGCAGCGGCCAGCTGACAATGCTGGAGCGTGGGCGGCCGCTGGGGCCGGGCCCCCCCGCCTCGCATGGCCCCTGGACCTCCGGCGTGGCGGGCCCGCCCGCCCGTGTTTCACATTAGACGCAGCCTGCCTCACATGGGCGCGTTGGTCGCTGTGGTTTCGCGCAGACAGAGCCGCCTTCAGCTGCTCTCTGGTACCCTGGTATGCCGACCCACGGCGGGCCACGGCGGGCCGCGCAGTTCGGGGGCGTCGCGCCTTCCCTGCCCGGAGGACTGGCTCAGCAGCTGAGGAAAGCTCGCGTGGGTCTTCCACTGCGGCGACGGACGAGGCGACATACGCTCCCGCACATGGTGACATTCCCTTTGTAGTCGGCACCTGCGGCCGTTTGCCACTCCCTGGTAGCGCTCTCTGCCCTGCCCCTGCTGCCCCCCGCCCTTGGGATTCTGGCAGCGGCCAGCTGATAATTCTGACTTGTGGTCTACCGCTGGGGCCGTGGTCCACCTGCCTTTTCTGGCCCTCGTCCCTGCCGCTGTTGTTTTCACCGCGCCGGCGCGCTCCAGCCCCCGCGCCCCCTGGTTCCCACCGTGCTGGAGCGGCTCTCCCCCGCGGGCAACCGGCCTCCCTCCTCTCCCTTCCCCCCTGCTCCCGTGGCTCTGTCCTGTCCCAGGGCTTGGGGCCCCCGAGTGCACGCGGTGCAGAATGTGCGCTCCCGGCTGCCGGCCGACCGCGTCGATTCGCCCGCGGTCCCTGGCGGCGCCGCCCACGGCCACCTCTTGCTACCTCGATCCGGCGTGAGGCGTGGATCTCCATGGTTCGGGCAGCCCGCAATCGTCGGTAATTGCATGAGTGTGGGCGTGGCCTCCCCTGGTCCAGTAGTTCAGGCGCGGGCGGTGTCGATCTCATCCATCGTTCCCCTGGCTGCCTCGCCCGTGTCCGGCGCCTTCCGTGGCCGGGCGCTCGCAGGATCAGCACTCCTCTCCGGGGCTTTGTTGTGCGACTTTGGTGGCGCGCCAGTTTGGACCGTGTCGGGCACCCATGGCAGTCTCCCCAGTGTACCGGCTGGCAACCTCCCTGGTCGCACCCTGGCAGTTCGCCGCGCCATTTTGGCTGCGTCCCAACTGTGGTTGGTTAGTTCGCTGCAGCCCAATTCACACCTGGTGACCCTGCTCCCTGGTTGTCGCACGCTTGCAGCTCCCTGGCAGTCCCAGCAGCTTGCAGCCCCCGCCCCCGGACCTCCAGCAACCCCGGCGCTGAGGCTTCCCCTGGCGGTAGGTCCTGCTCTGCTCCGCGCTAGGTAATTAGGCCCCCGCGCGGCCCGCTCGGACCTTACTCGCCGTTGGCGCTCTCGCCTGGGGCTGCTAACCAAAAAGTATCCCCGCCAGCCCATCCAGAAACGATCAGCAGGGGAGCTGGTGAATCAGAGCCGGCAGGACGCATGCACTCGCGCAGCCGTCTTCGAGAAACCAAGCATCACGAATAGCTTCCCGCATTGAAGCTTAAGATGGAAATCGGTGCAAACTACGATGGTGCCCCGATGAGGGTGAGGGGTGTTTCGATCGATGACTTTAATGTTTGCCGCGCTGATTTATATCTTAAGCTCGCGTGCGTTTCGAAACTTGGAGCCATCTTGGGGCTCTCTTGGGGTTCTCTTGGGGCCCTCGTGGGGCCCTCCTGGGTCTCTTTCTTGGGTTTCTCGTGAGGTCCTCGCAGGGCCTTTTTGGGGCCCTCTTGGGGCTCCTTTGGGGCGTCTTGGGGCCCTCTTGCGGCTCATTTTGGGGGTCGGGGTGCCTTCTTGGGACTCTTTTGGGATGTTTGAGAGGCCTCTTTGTACCGTCTTGGACCTTTTCGCAAACAAATACGGGGTTCTAGTTCGGATCGCCCCTCGGGGACTCAAAATGCCCTTGGGGTCCTCTTGGCCCGCTCTTGGAGCGCTCTCGGGCGCCCTTGGGGCCGTCCTGGGGTTCTCTTGGACCCCTCTTGGAGCTACATTGGGCCGTCTTGAGATCATCTCGGGGCCTCAAGAGCCCATCGGAGGCGAAAAAGCGAGAAGGCACAACACATTGTTCTGTTCTTAGGCATTTGAAGGATGTTGGCCTCGTGATGGGGTCCTTGGAGGCCTCGGCGGGTACTTGAAACCGTCTTGGGGCCGTCCTGAAGCCTCTTGGACGTGTGTCGGAGGCTATCTTGACCCACCTACCGCTATCTTGGGCCACCTTGGAGGCCATCTTGCGCTCTCTGAGGCCTTTTTGGAGCCATCTTGGGCCGAAAAGGGCCCTTTGCCACCTCGCCGGGGAGCCCGTCCAAACGTGGGGAGGGGGGGGTAAACCTCCCGAGCAGGGAACGGAAGGAGGTTGGAAAAGGAAACGACCTAGACCACCTACGCCCAGAGGGTTGGTGGGATTGGCCGAGAGAATGGGTGGGGGGGCTGTACCTACACACGGCCTGTCCGAGCAGCATGTAGTGCTGCACTAGGGTCGACCCGTGTTCGGGTGACCTCCATCCCACATTTTCCGAAGGCGCTATCCAAGAGTCCCTGCGTCTTTGAAGCCTGCCACCCACAATCGGGTCGTGTACCAGGCACGCCGCTTACAGAAAACGTGAGTACACGAGCTCTACTGACCATTTTCCGATCCTGCTCCAGAAGGGGTTCCCGCGGTTCTCGTCCATTTCCCCAATCAAGAGAAGCACGCTCGATGGAGAAGGATGTTCAACGGGTGTGTGACCTCGACAGGGTCTGAAGGTGCAGGCTCGCTAGGCTGGGTCGGAGGGTATTGCCCCTGAGCCGTCTCCGCAGTCGCGTGGGCAGGAGCCAAGGCGGAACGAAGCGGGCGGAGGACGAGGTGGAGGTGGGCACGGAGCCCCCGCTCTGTGAGGCCCTGGGGTCCGAAGAGTGGGGCAGGGTCCGATGCACCCAACTCCCCGCGGGAGGGCTCCCCTTCCTCAACGCTTGGCTTCGTCCACTTGCTCCGGAGGGCCTTTTGGGCAGAGGAGCTCGGCATCTACCCGGCGGTCGACCCCCTGGACTCCACCTCCCGCATGTTGGACCCTTCGATCGTGGGGCAGCGCCACTACGACATCGCCCGCAGCACCCAGAAGATCCTGCAGGACCAGCCCTCTGCCCTGCATCTGGTGCGCTGGTGCTGCTGCCCGTGCTGCCAGTCAGCTGCTGCTGCTGCTGCTGCTGCCGACAGCGTTCGTGCTGCTAGTGCTCGTGCTGCCGAGTCCGCATCCTGTCTCCATTTACCACGTAGCTAGTGCTGCTGCTGCTGACGCTCGTGCTCCCCGTCGGCCTCCTCGCTGGGTCCCAGGGGTATGGCCTCGTATCCCCAGCGGGTGACCACCCCCTCCCCCCTCCTTTCGAGGTGTTCCGCTGACTGCAGAGGAGCACGACCATTTGCGGGCGAGTCAGGCTGTAGCTCTTTCTGGTTCTTCTCGCGCTCACGGTCTCTCTTTCACTCCCCCTCTCTTTTTTTGCTCTCTGTCTCTCTCTCTCTCTCTCTTTCTCCCTCTATCGTTCGATATAGACGTGGTTGCAGCGCCCTGGCCAAGTCCCGCCCTGCTCGCCATGCCCGCCCTGCTCTTCATTTGGCCGGACTCTCCCTCGTCTCTGCCTCCCCACCACGCGGCCTCCCGTGGGGCTCTTCGAGGCCCATCGAGAGCCACTCCAGCGGCGACCGTCCGCGTTCTCCTCTCTCTCCTCTCGTGTGCTCCGCCACGCCAGTGCTGCCGAGACCATCGCTCGCCTCAGGACTACAAGTCGCTCCAGGACATCATCGCCATCCTCGGCATGGACGAGCTGAGCGAAGAGGACAAGCTGACCGTCGCGCGTGCTCGGAAGGCGCCAGCCGCGACAGACCGCTGCAGCTTGCTACCACCAGCACCGCTGCGGCCACCGTCGCCGCCTGACAGTGGTTGGTTGGCAGTGATTCGGGAGGCGCCATCTCGACACCAACCGATCCTGGCCAGGCCAATCCTGGGCCCAGGATGTGACTTGCCTGGATCGGCATCAGTGTATGGTTTGCGTCGTCCTGCATCTGACAGTGGCAGGTTGGCAGGGGCGACGTGTTCAAATCGACACCGCTGCGCGAGGACTTTCCAGTGTCTAGAGAGCCACAACAGCTTGCAAGAAGGGGACGCCTCGGGCCAGAGGCATCTGCGTCGGCACCAAACCCCAGCATGCCATTCGCACTTTGACTCGTGGCGCCTGGCAAGGCATGGGGGAAGCTGGCGGTCCACCCCTTGCATCTGGATGGCTACATCGATCTGCCCAACCTGCGCCATTCTCATTTTCAGACCACCTGCCTGTATTTCTTGCGATGTCCGCGAGTTCACGAGCGCGCGCACGTCAGAGACTTTTCGCCGTTTCGGCCTCCTGGGTCCCTTCCTGAGCCCTGGGACTGTCGGAAAACAGCTCGCGATGAAACAGCTCAGGGTCCAGGACCCGTTTCTTTCAAGACTCATGTCCTTCATACCATCGGGCAATGTCCCAAGGTCATCCGAGGCAGTGGCGAAACGTAACGATGTCCAGAAGTACATGCGACCGTGGCTTTCGTCGTTGTTTCCAACCCTCCTGTGTTGGGTTCTTGTTTTGGATAGAGCACTGGTCTCCGCCCTCCTCGCCTCCTCTCCTCTCCTCCATCTCCTCCTCCTCCTCCTCCTCCTCCTCCTCCTCCTCCTCGTCGCTTCCTACCTCCTCCTGCATCCGTACCTTTCCTGCTGGGGGGCTGCGAACTGTGCAACTGTCGCCACTTTCGTAGGCTTCTGGGAGGCACGGCGGAGGTGAGGGCAGCGCGGATCATTTGAGACCTCGCGGCTCCCTCGGGGGCTACGAATTGCGCAACCGATGTCATTTTTTTTGGCTCCTGGGAGGCACGGCGGAGGTGAGGGCAGCGCAGACCCAGGCGTGACCTCGCGGCTCCCTCGGAGGCTGCGAACTGCGCATTTATCGCATTTGAGACCTCGCTGCTCCCTTGTGTGGCTGCGAACTATGTAATTGTCGCCACTTTCGTGGGCTCCTGGGTGGCGCGGCGAGACCTCTTTCGTTGGCTTCGGGGAGGCGCGGCTGAGGTGAGGTTTGGACAGCGTAGATGCAGGCGAGACCTCTCGGCTCCTCTGGGGACTTCGAATTTGCGCAACCGGTGTCACCTTCGTGGGGCCCTGGGAGGCACAGCGGATGTGGGGGCAGCACAGATCCAGGCGAAAGCTCTCGGTTCTGTCGGGGGCTGCGAGCTGCGCAACTGGTATCACCTTCGTGGGCTCCTGGGATGCACTGCGGAGATGACGGCAGCGCACATCTAGGCGAGACTTCGCGGCTCCCTCGGAGGGCCTCAAACTGCGCAACTGGTCGCTTTCCTCGAAACATTAGTCGCTCCTGGCGCTAGACGGCGCCAGGAAAACCAGCGGCCGCCGCCGCCGCCGCCGCCGCCGCCGCCGTCGTCGTCGTCGTCGTCGTCGTCGTCGTCGTCATCGTCGTGGATCGTCGTCGTCTCCTCCGAGCCCCCCCCCCCCGCTGGCGGTCCGCGGCGCGCGCGCGCCAGGTACAGCGCTTCCTGTCGCAGCCCTTCTTCGTGGCCGAGATCTTTACTGGCCCGCCGCCCTCACCCGCTGCGCGCCCGAGGGCCCGCGACAGCAGGGCGCGGCCGACTTGGAGGGTGTGGTCGGGGGGGGCCTCTCCGTCGAGGCCCCGGACTTCGAGAGCTCCCCTCCGTCGAGCAAAGGATTCGCCAGGAAGGCTCACGGCGGTTTCGGAGGCCTTCCAGAGGAGGACGGACTAAGAAGTGTAGGAAGAAAGAGGTGGGAGGATGAGGTGGAGGAGGAGGAGGAGGAGCAGGAGGAGGAGGAGGAGGTGGAGGACGACGAGGAGGAGGAGGAGGAGGAAGAGGAGGAGGAGGAGGACGAGGAGAAGGAGGAGGAGGTGGAGGTGGAGGTGGAGGAGGAGGAAGAGGAGGAGGATGAGGAGGACCAGTGTAAATCCAAGACTCATCAACGATGTTGGAGTAAACCCTCCCACGAATCAACACGACTGTTGCGCACTGACGATTCTGAATCGTGGAAAAATTGTTTTATGGGACTTCAACACGCGAATTAATACAGTTGCTGCGCCTTTACACCCTTGAATCTTTCAAAGACTCCATGTATGGTACGTTACCCTTGAGATTCCGTGAAACTCTTGGAATGTGCGCGGTGCAGGCCCGGGCTACACATTGAACAGGACCCGCCCTCCATATGTGAAGTGCTTGTAGAAGTTTAAATGAATGCGCGCGGCGGTAAGGCGAAAACCACATTATGAGAACGGCCCGCCCTCAATCCGTGAATATATTGCACATTTTAACACGGTTGTACTCGGCGCTGAGGCGCGAGAGTGTCATGTTGAAAACGGCCAGCCCTCAATCCGTTGAGTTTGTGCAATTTTTTTGAAACGAAGCACCGCGCCGCCAATGGGAGAGCCGCATTTCGAATCTGGCCCGTCTTCAACTTGCGAAGCTGTTGTTCATTTTTTATTAAGAGTCCGGGATCATAAATGATCACGAAGTCTCAATCGAAACGCCCGGCCCGCCTTGCCGACCGGTTTCGGGGTGCGACAGAGACGAGTTATTTAGAAAGAAGGGCTGGAGGAAGAGGATGAGGAAGAGGAGGAGGAGGAAGAGGAGGAGGAGGAAGAGGAGGAGGAGGAAGGAGGATGAGGAGGAGGAAGAGATCCAGAGCCATTTGGCTCAAAGCGTTGCGTGGGGGCTTCGGTTCGGTCGGGGATGGGGTTCCAGGTGGCCAGTCGCGACCCACGCCCCCTTCCATTCATTGTATCTGTTGGTGTTTTATATATGTTGATGTGGTTTAGAAGAGGTGCAGGAGGATTTACGTACCGTAGCCTTCGGCTGAGGTGTTGATCAAAACGTATCATCTCAGGTTTCAATGTAGATCATAACATGGTTACGCGGAGCTAAGTTGCGATTCGTGGCGACGCTCGAGCAGCTGGCCCAGGCACTTCAAGAAGTGCGCCAGCAGCTCGGAGAAGAGAGGCAAGCACGACTCGCAGCAGAGCAGCGAGCAGGAGGCGCAGGACGCGCAGACCCCGCCCAAGCAGGCGGAAGACTCGATGGCGGGAACGAGCAGCACATCGATCCCAGAGTGCTGAACAAGTGCCCGATCTTCAACGGAAAAGATGAATCATGGCAGGAGTGGGCTTTCATCTTTGAGAGTGTGTGCGGCATGGCGGACTTGGAAGACAGCCTCGACGCAGCATCGAGAGACGTGATAGACTTGAAGTTCGCCAATTTCAACCCAGAGCAGCAGACGAAGGCCAAGCAACTCTACTACTTGCTGGTCAACAAAGTACGTGGCAAAGCACTGACGCTGGTCAGAGGCGCGGAGAAGCATAATGGGATTCTCGCTTGGAAACGGATCAAGGCAGAATACGCGCCAGACGTCGGAGGCAGACACACCGCACTACTGATGGGAGTTCTACAACCAGGATGGGACCAAAGAGCGACGAGTGCCGAGTTCGCGAACGACCTGACCGAGTGGGAGACGCGCATCACGGAGTACGAGATGGAGAGCACAGAAAAGGTCAGCGACTCGCAGCAGCAGAGTATCAGAGAGTACTTGCAGTTTGGCAGGACGTTCAACAAAGACGGAAGATGCACAAACGCAGCCGACCCTTCAGGACCAGTCCCTATGGAGGTCGACGCAGCGCAGAGCGGTGGCAAAGGAGCAAAAGGCAAGGGAAAAGGAAAAGGTTGCGCGATCTGCGGACGACCAGGACATAAAACACAAGATTGCAGGCTGAAGGGAAAAGGTGAGGAGAAAGGCAAAGGCAAAGGTCGAGAGGTGAAGAACAGCTTCGAGGGCGAGTGTAGACATTGCCGAAAGAAAGGACACAAGTGGGCAGAGTGCAGATCACGACTTCGAGGAGAACCACCAGCCAAGAACGTAAGGTCAGTCGAGGAGAAGCCAGCGAGCGCAATGATCGAAGAGGTTAACGCAGAGGACGACGAGTACGAGTGCGACCTGTGCGAGCACGAGGGCGACTTCGACGACGAGCACTGGTGCAGGATCTGCTACCCAGATGAGGACTACGAGGATCAAGATGCAGACTACGAGGATCCAGATGCACACGACGAGGACCCAGAGGCTAATGTCAGGGAGACCGTCGTCTACGAGAGGATCGAGGACGACGAGGCCGAGTCGCAGGAGGTCAAGAGCTACGACGACCACGGCGACGACGACGGCAGCGGCGAAGAGAAGTGGGTGTTCAACGTTTGGGACGAGGACATGGACAGCCAGGGCCACGAGTTTCTTCCCCTGGACAGCGCATGCGAGGAGCACACCTGCCCGTGGAACTTCGCCGACGACGGAGTGGACATTGGACTTGGCGGCGTTCGACTCAGAGGGGCAGATGGCGGCAAGATCGAGTCAGGTCGCGAGATCATGGTCGAGTACTCGGCGCTGGACATCGACGGTCGCACGGTCGTGAATGCGAAGACCCCGTTCGTGCAGAGCGACGTGAAGAGGGCGCTGCTAAGCGCAGGCAAGCTCGCGAGGGACGGCATCAACATGTTCTTCAGGAGAGAGGATCCTTGGCTGGAGATCACGACCGACCGAGGACGAGCGAAGGTGCCAGTGTACATGAAGGGGCGCACGTTCGGGCTGAGGATCAGGAGGAGACCTGCGCCCAGCAAGCCGACGGTGATGATCGCGCCCGTCGGGGATGAGGAGATGCCACAAGCGCAGCCGGGCAGCGCAGCATCAGGATCAGCTTCGAGCTCGGCAGCAGCAGCAGCACCACCACCAGTGGCGGTTGCAGGAGCACCTCAGGCTCCTGACCCAGGCATCCCTGAAGGCGCACGGCTGGATCGAGAAGCAGAACAACTAGCTCAGCAGTGGCTCGAGGTCAAGCAGCATGGCGAGCCTGTCGGACAAGGAGGACTCTTCAGCGGCAGTTCGGTGGAAGTCATGAGGAAGAGGCTGAAGGAGCTCAAGGCCCCGATTTGGGGAACCAAGCAGCAGCTATGGGGGCGCTTGGTGCGCGCAGAGGCGAAGCTCGAGCTCCAGATCAGGGATGGGAAGTGGCTCGAGGAGCGCGCGAAGGAGCTAGCCGAAGCTGGAGGCCAAGGCGAAGTTATCGTACCACGAGCTCCAGCTGAACCGACACCAGACGAACGAGCACGGCATGAAGTTACACACTTGCCGTACCAGCCGTGGTGCGCATGGTGCGTCATGGGCAAAGGACGAGCAAAGCCGCACGAGCAGAGGCCAGAGGAGAAGAGGAAGTTACCCGAGTTCGAGATGGACTTCTGCTACCTGCTTCAGGACCCGAAGAGGAGGCATGCACCAGGAGATCAAGCGTGGGCGACGACACTCGTTCTGGTGGACGCGGCGGCTCAGAATCCGATGGCGATGGCGATTCCTCAGAAGTCAGACGAGATTAACTACATAGCATCTACATGCACGGCCTTCGTCAAGCGGATGGCTTACCCCGGTGCGATACTCAAGGTGGACCCAGAGCCAGCCTTGGACGTGATCGCGGAGAAGGTGAAGCAAAAGTGCATGGTGGACGGCATCAAGCTGGAGATCGAGAAGACGCCGAGGTTCAGCAGCCAAAGCGTCGGTGTCGTCGGCAGAGCACAGCAGACCGCAGAGGGCCAGATCAGGACGATGCGGCTGGACATGGAGGCGAGGCTCGGCACCAATATCGACCCCTCCATGGACATCTGGCCGTGGATGGCAAGGCACGCTGGATGGATACTAGAGCGGTACCACGTGAAGGCAAATCACAGGACAGCGTACGAGGACTGCTTTGGCAAGGCATACCAGGGAGAAGTGCTGAAGTTCGGCGAGGCAGCGCTTTTCAAGCTTTCGGTCACGACGACGGGAAAGGTCAGAGCTGGAGTTAGGCAAGGACGAGCAGACGCCAGGCTCGCGCGAGGGATCTGGCTGGGCAAGACGATCGAGTCCGACGAGCACCTGTTCGGGACCGAAGAGGGCGTGTTCACCACCAGGACGGTCAAGAGGGTTCCGACGAGCGAGCAGGACAGAGCCGACCTGGTCAAGGCGATCAAGGGCACGCCGTGGGACAGATCCGCTGGAAGGCCGATGGGAAGGCCAAGGAAGAGACCCAAGGCGCCACAGGCAGTACCGCTAGCGGTGCCAGGACCACCAGCAGAAGTTGCAGACGACGCAGCTCCAGCACAACGGCAGCAAGATGGGGGCGCAGCAGCAGCAGCAGCAGCAGCAGCGCCAGCAGCGGCAGCAGTTCCAGTACCAGGGCAAACCCAGGGCAAACAGCAGGTCGGCGGCGCGGCGACGATGGAAGTAGATCAAGGTCGGGGCCAGACGGTCCCAGGCACCCAGAGGGCATCAGCGAGTTCAATGGTGCCAAGCTCTCCCACAAAGCGTGACGGCGGCGGAGACCCAGCAGGCGTGGCATCACCGATAGAGAAGAAGGCGAGAGTGGAAGAGCTAGTGACGATGGACGCGGACGAGTACGACGCGGACTTCGACGACAACGCCTACCTGCAAGAGGACTGGGACGAATATGAAGGTGTGGACCCAGCGATAGCGCAGGCTATCATCAAGGGCAAGGAGAAGGAGATGCACGCGATGGAGGAGTTCGAGATCTTCGAGACGGTGGAGAACATCCCAGACAGCGCAGACATCCTGTCGACGAGATGGGAAAACCTTCCAAGAGGCCCAGACGAATGGAGGTGCAGGTTTGTGGCGAGAGAGTTCAAAGGCAACGATCCTGAACTAGACGGGTTGGTCACGGCAGGAGCTACCAGCAGTGCGGGGAGGCTCATCGACCAACATGCGGCGCAGCACGGCTACAACACGATGGTGCTGGACGCGCAGAACGCATACTTCCACGCTGACGAAGAGGAGGAGGTGTACGTGGACCCGCCAGTGGAATGGGTCAGAAGATATCACGCGCGAGGCGGCAAGATCAAGAGACCGTGGTGGAAGATGAAGAAGCAGATCTACGGCAAGCGCAAGGCCTCGAATAAGTTCAACCAGTACGTGGTCGACGTGACCAAGAGCCTTGGGATCGAGCAGTGTCCCGAGCAGCCCAGCATCTTCAGGAGGCCAGGTACCACGCTGGTTTTCGAGGTACATCAAGACGACATCTACGCGTCAGGGAGCGACCACGAGCTGGAGTGGCTGGCAGCAAACTTAGCACCAGTACTGAAGCTCAAGGACGCCAGGATCATGAATGTTGGAATGGTGTATTCGTACCTCAGAGCCACGCGCACCAGGATCAGCAAGCACGTGATACACATAGCGCCGAGGCCCAAGTACATCGAGGACGTGTTAAACGAGTTGGGGCTTACCAGCTGCAAGGAGGTGCCGACGCCGATGGTCAGCACGAGGAAGAAGGAGGACATGGACGAGCCAGTCGTGGGGCCAGTCGACAAGAAGACGTACAACAAGTGCGTTGGGATTCTCAGGCATCTGCTGAAGTACAGGCCAGACATCCCGTTCGCAGTTCACGAGCTGAGCAAGTCGCTGAGTGCACCCAGAGAACCAGATATGCAAAGGCTAAGGCGGCTGGCAAGATACTTGAAGGGCACGGCGGACTACGGCATCTTAGCGAAGAAGAGCGACGACACGGAGTACTTGGACGCTTTCCCGGATGCCGATTGGGCAGGCGACGTCAACGACAGGAAGAGCACATCGGGAGGCGCGCTGAAGTTTGGGACCACCAACCTCAGGGAGTTCACCAAGGGCCAGAGTTGTCAGGCGCTCAGCTCAGGCGAAAGCGAGTACTACGCGGCGGTGACCACAGTAGCAGAGGGACTCCACATGCAGCGGCTGTTCGAGTTCATAGGTTTTCCGGTGAAGCTCGAGCTCAGGCTGGATTCGACGGCAGCAAAAGGCATCATCATGAGAAGTGGTTGTGGAGCGCTCAAGCATATCGAGACGAGGCTATTGTGGCTCCAGGCCAAGTACGACGAGAAGAAGATCACGGTTCATAAGGAGCCGACCGCGACCAACACAGCGGATGGCTACACAAAAGCGTTGCAGACAGCGAAGTTCCTGGAGTGGAGGCCGAGGCTTGGCATGGGATACGACAACGGAGATGGAGCCGAGACGAGCAAGAGAGAGGCGCTCAGTGGAAATGGCAGTCAGTGGACAGGATCAAGCAAGGGGCCCAGACAGCTTCTTGCGGCAGCACTGTTGCTCAGCCAGGCCAAAGGCGACACCCAGGTGGCAGTGACAGACAGTTTCGACGCGGTGAGCAGCAACGAGGTGGTGATGTTTAGTCCAAGGGCATGCTCGACGACATCGTTCAGTTGGACCACGCTGTGCATCGCGATGATGGTGGCATTTGTAGTGGGATGCGTGGCGCACCACTACATGATGAAGATGAAGACGTGGATCACGAGCTTGGGAGAGAGCACCGCGCCCCTTGAGGCCGTCGGGGGTGCGAGGAAACAACGGCTCAAGACCAAGCAGAGCAAGCGCACCGTGAGCACGCAGAGCATGACGACGTACGCCAGGCACAAGACGCAGCCGAGGTTCGTGCTGACACCAGCGAGTTGCGAAGGATGCTGGAGTTACGACGAGAGGCTCGACGACAAAGTGAAGTAGGTGGAAGGCTTGAGCGGCTACGAGCGGAGCCTCGAATCGCAGCTTGGCGTACAGGCGGCAGGGTTTAAAGTTTTGTTTCAGTCGGAGGTCGGAAAACACCTTCGGCATCACTCTCCCGCGAGCGGACGCTCGCCGAGGGGGCGTGTTGGTGTTTTATATATGTTGATGTGGTTTAGAAGAGGTGCAGGAGGATTTACGTACCGTAGCCTTCGGCTGAGGTGTTGATCAAAACGTATCATCTCAGGTTTCAATGTAGATCATAACAGTATCTCAATTCCTTCAAACTGCGCGGTATGGCGGCTCGTCAGACCAAGGGGCCTCATTGCGCAGAGAGCGCTGTGGGTGTGGCAAAACGAACTGGAATCCACCATTCTGCAAGCAGTGTAGAGGGCATTGGTAAACAGGAAAGAAGATTATATCCACGAAGGGCAGGGGTAGGGAGAGTACCCCAGACAGTGTTGGTGGTATCGTGGTGGTATCATAGTGTTGGAGTCCTCCCGGCTTTGGTGGTGTCATGGTTCCGCTGCCAAAAGGTGCCCATGCAGGAAGTCGTGACCCAGTCCCATGTATGTCATTTGACGACGCGCGGCATCTCAGTGGTTTCGCTACAAAGGGAAGCAACAGCGAGCTGACACAATAGTATGATGACGTCCTCGCAGCAAAGGATCGCCGCACGGCGGTGGTTCCACTGGTCAGGGAAAGGCAGGCCCTCCGTTCGATCTTCAAGCTCGAGGGGGACTTGCGGGATAAGACGTGCAAATTGTCCGAGGTGCACGAAGTCGTGCGCAAGCAGCAGGAGGAGGTCACCCGTGCCCAGTCCGAGCTCTCGATCCAGGAGAATTTGTGCAATGACCATCACAGAGCTGCGTGGCCATCTCGCCGCGCCGACACCCCCAGCCCCAACGGCAAACGTGTTTCCGTTGGCAAATGCGTTCACGGGTGAGCTCGCAGACTGGGGCTTATCGCGTGGTGAGAATTTGTTTGGACTGGGTGAGTTTGTGGACTCGTCCGAAGATCTCCCGAATGGCGCCAGAGGCCGCGAAGCTAGTCTCAAATAACAGTTCAGGAAGTGGGCGGCGCTATCTCAGAACCAAAACTGGGAAGCACCAGAAGGAGCAGGCATAGTTGCGTGCTAGGCTGGCGGGCAAGCCGCGCAAGCATAACAAAGGTGCTGAAGTTCCTGGGGGCGCGGGCGCAGGAAGTACTCCGCATGCGGCAGCGGCGACGGGAACCTCGACAACGGCCCCCCCTGCGTCTCGGGGCCCCGGCACAGGTAAGAGGGCGCCGCGGGGCAACGGTGGCGAGGAGCTGCGCGAGAGGGCGCAGGGGCTTGTCTCCAAAGGGATGGGCAATGCGAGGGTGGCCGAGTCTGCCCGCGAGGGGGGGGCAGGTCAGCAGCAGGCGCAGCGGCAGGGTTAGCGCGCGTCAGGTTGAGGTGGCTGGAGGCTCACTTGGCTGACGGGATGTCCAGTATGCAACCTAGATCGGCCCCTTCATGGAAACTCGCGGCCGCCAACTCATCTGGCTGGTCGGGGCCCCTGCATTTTTAAGCGCGCCCAGTTCACGGTGGAGCGCGTCCAGGAGAGCACAGTAAGCAGCGCGTCGTTCAGATGCGTGGAAGTCGCGCTTGTTTCTTGCCGTCGGCGCGACGGGCGAGGGGGTTTCAGCCTGCGTCGGCGTTGCCGCGGAGCGCTGCGCCGGGGTCGGCAGCGTCGCGCGGCCCCGCGAGCACCTCCTGCGCTCCAGATGTTCCATGGTCTGGGTGAGCAGTGGAATGTGCGCATCTTCCTGGCGGGCAGGGTGTCTCGTGGGAATGGGCGGGGCGTCTAGTGAATCAGATGAGTGAATTTCTGCGTGCGTCTCAGAAACGAGCCCCTGTCAATCGTTTCAAAGTCGCGTCGGGTCATGTCCTGCGGCGACCGGCCCCGTGCAGATTTGGCAAGTGGCGGGGGCTCGAGTTCCCCCGCGTCTCGCGCGGCCAGGCCGGGCCCGTCGAGTCGCGCCGCGATTGCCCAGTCGTGCTCGCCCCCTTTTATTGGCGCCCGCCGTAGAACCGAGCAGGTTTCGAAGCCCCTCGGGCCTTTTCGAGGGGCCGCTAGGGCCTCCGCCGCCGAGGAACTGTCGGGGTGTGCTAGATTCGAAGGCTTCGACTGGAGGCAGACCCTGGGCGAGTAAAGCATCCTGCGCTCAGACGCTCGCGCGCCGTTGGCGCGTGAATTGTCGAGGCGCCCCTCGGGCTGTGAGGTCCCGGCATTTTGGCGGATGGGCTGGGCTCGTTTTGCCAGTTCGGGGCAACGTCGCGGGGTTTTGCCCCAAACGCACCAGCGCTTTCGCACCGGCGGGAAATTTTAGATTCGCCTTAGCGAGTTCATGCGTCTGAGGAACAGGATCCGCTGCCGGTGCTCTCAGGGGGCGAGAGATCTCGCTGGGATCTCCGCGGCCTGGCATCCGACCGCGATGCTGTTCCAGGATGGCCTGGAATTCAGGGTTCGCATCGACTTCCAGTCAGTGTTGACCTTCATGATTTAGATGGGCATGCTGCGTCGCTTCGGGGGCTTGCTGGCATGATTGGCGCCTTTGTTTGCGAAGCGAAGGCAGGTCTGGATGGGGCTGCGCCCGCAGCCCCGCCGCGGTCGCTGGCGGCGCCGTCTTAAGGCGCGCCGAAGAACCTGCGGGGCAGGCCCGCGACCCAGCTGGAGTTGCTGGCGGCCTAGCCGGCCAAGTTGGCCGCGGAGGCCCCCACTGGGGGAGTGGATTTGGTATTGAGGAGAACCTAGTCGGTTTGCTGCTGAGCATCTTGGATTGCCCTTCGGAGAGGCCCCACCGAGGCCCGCGCTGGAACGGGTCCATGGGGCCCCGGCCCCCGAGACGTTCGAGGGCAACGCCGCAGCGGGCATCGACGGGCGGGGCCCCGCGGAGATGAGGGAGCTTAGCGGCAAGGCGCCCGAGGCGCATGCGACGTTTCTCTCGGGCGACGAGGCGCGCTCCCTGATCCCGGAGCAGCGCGCTCTGCCGCTCATCGCATTCCTCGAGAGGCTGGGGGGCGGTTGCAGGCCCATGGGCGTCCTTTCCATTCGCGTCCTTGGGCGCATGCGCAGGCATGAATCAGCGCGGTGGGGGGCGCGGCGCAGGCCCGCACGTGCGCGCGGCGGGAAAAGCAAGAGCTGCGCGCCGGCACATTGGCAGCGAGCAGCAGCAGCGCGCGGGCCGGTCAGAGCCAGGAGCGCATCATCAGGGTCGGCACTTATAGAGTTGGATACATGCTACGAGAGGATGCCCTGCGATGTTATGTGGCAGCGCGTGCGGTTTGTTTCTTCGGCGCGTTCGTTTGCTTATCGTGGTGCATGGGGGCGGGCGTCGCGTGGGGGTTCGCGAGACGTCTCGGAGGTCGAGCAGATTGGGGTGTCTACTAGTGTGGGCTGTTATGTCGCGACAACTCTCCGACGCGCTGTGCTGCGCATCTCGCGCGAGTGCGCGCGGGCCCGATGGGGGGGGCCCATGGAGTTGTGGACGGCGCCGCTGTCGAGGCGATTTGGCCCCGCAGCAGCATCGAGCTTCGCCTGGCCCAGGCGACGCGTGAAATTTGCGCGGGTATTTTTTTCCCCCCCCAGGAAGGGGGCAGCTCGTGGCCCCGAGGGGCCGAGGGGTGCCTTGCGCCGTCGAAGTCTCGGTCTCGCCCTGCCGCGGGACATGTCGGGCGTGGTTTGTTGGGGGCAGGGCGTGGGATAGGCGGCGGACATCGCGGCGGCGGATCTGGGGCATGCGAAAGCGAGCCGGGCGTCTTCGGGCCCTGAAACGTCATCGTCGGGGACCAGCGTGGGTTTTCAGAGCTGGGCGCGGCGGCAGCTGCGCGCGGGGTTTGGGCCCGCGAGTCTTCGAACGCGGACTTGGCCAACTTGCGCTCTTTCGCTTTGTTCTGTTCAGCTCGGGGAAGCTCGAGGACGTCATCGGGCAGCGCAGTGCCGTCTCGCAGATCCTCGTGACTTTGACCCCGCCCTCGCGTTCAAAGTCTTCCCCCTGCTGACTTGGCAGACGGCGCCGCGCCGAGAATAGCTTCTCGACGCGTTGTTTCTTCTGCCTGCTGCGAGGCCGCGGCAGCGCGTTCCGCGGCGCGGCGCACGCTTTTCAATCAGTAATGCGCGCGCGCGGCGCGGCGCGCATCCAAGCGCCTTTCGGCGCCGAGTCTTCGAGGGCGACGGACAAGCTGCGTGGCGGCGGGCCGACATGTCGAGGGGTTAATGGGCGCCGGCAAAGAGGCAGGACATTGTATCGCGACCTGGCGCGGCGTCGCGGCGGAGGAGGGGGGGCCGGGGGGGGGGGCAGAGGGGGGGCAAATGGGGGGGGGGAGTGGAGCGCAGCAGAGTGACGTCCCGCGCAGATTCAGACTAGACCTCGCCACCCTTGTGGTGTGGGGTTGCGATCTGCGTAGCTGTCGCCATCGAGGGCTGCTGTGGGGCCAGCGGGGTGGCGTCCCACGCCGATTCAGATTGGGCCTCGCCATCCCTGGAGGGCTGCGATCTGCGAAATTGTCGCCACTTTCGAGGACTGCTGGGGGGTCCGGCGGAGTGGGGCCCCACGCGGGTTCAGATTTGGCCTAGCCGTCCCTGGGGGGCCGCGATCTGCGAAATTGTCGCCACTTTCGAGGGCTGCTGGGGGGGGGGGTCGAGCGGATTAACGTCCTACGCGGGTTCAAGTTCGACCTCGCCATCCCCCGGGCTGTTGCGGTCTGTGAACTTGTCGCCACGTTCGAGGGCTGCTAGGGAGTCCAGCGGGGCGATGTCCTGCGCGGCTGCAATTTTGACCTCGCCATCCCTGAGGGGCTGCGACCTGCGAAACTGTCGCCGCTTTCGAGGGCTCCTGGGGTCCAGCTGGATGGATTCAAGTTTCAAATTTGAGCTCGCAATCCCTGTGGGGCTGCGGTCTTCGGAATTGTGGTCATTTTCGAGGGCTGCTGGGGGGGTCTCGCGGGGCGCTGTCG